TGAGAAAGAAATCCAAGATTATTAAAACATTTGACATGTAACAGTCATGCAAAAAAGTTGGATCAGTTGACAGTTGTCCGAAGTCAAGATGTTGTGACATGTTGGAAGATTTGGTGATTGATCAATTCTCGCGTTGCAATGTCTAAAGACCTTCAACAGAGAAGGCACTTTGAACAACAGAGTTCATGAATGGTTCATTGCTTGATCATGGTAGGTTCGATCTATTTGACTGAATTGATCAAGAACTATAGACACAATGATCTCGAACAAAATTACATGTCACAACTTTCATGCAATTTTTTTGTTCCCTCCCTCCCTGACCCTACAGCAGGGACAGGGGGGAAAAGGAAACCGATCCGTGCAATAACATCCAGATGGTTGCATATCCAAGCAGATGGATCGCAGTACTTTCGACCAGGCAACTTGATGTGCAGATCGCATCGAGGCATCAGAGTCTCGCACAGGATTTTCCCCCGATCAAAAAATGAAGCTGCTGGGCCGCTTGCGTTGAGATTTTGTGTCCTTTCCAATGATGTGCAACATAGTACATTTAATATATGATTGTTTCTGGGGTTCAAGAGGTTAGGGACAAGAAGGGAATTTACACAACGTGGATAGCACTTTCTTGGACCAAACATCTTGAATGATTTCCGAAGGTTGTGAGGAAATCCCCAGAAACAAACCTCTTTCAAACTGAGAAAGAAATCCAAGATTATTAAAACATTTGACATGTAACAGTCATGCAAAAAAGTTGGATCAGTTGACAATTGTCCGAAGTCAAGATGTTGTGACATGTTGGAAGATTTGGTGATTGATCAATTCTCGCGTTGCAATGTCTAAAGACCTTCAACAGAGAAGGCACTTTGAACAACAGAGTTCATGAATGGTTCATTGCTTGATCATGGTAGGTTCGATCTACTTGACTGAATTGATCAAGAACTATAGACACAATGATCTCGAACAAAATTACATGTCACAACTTTCATGCAATTTTTTTGTTCCCTCCCTCCCTGACCCTACAGCAGGGACAGGGGGGAAAAGGAAACCGATCCGTGCAGTAACATCCAGATGGTTGCATATCCAAGCAGATGGATTGCAGTACTTTCGACCAGGCAACTTGATGTGCAGATCGCATCGAGGCATCAGAGTCTCGCACAGGATTTTCCCCCGATCAAAAAATGAAGTTGGTGGGCCGCTTGCGTTGAGATTTTGTGTCCTTTTCAAATGAGGTGCAACAAAGTACATTTCATACATGGTTGTTTTTGGGATTCAAGAGGATGGGGACAAGAAAGGAGCATCTTTGCGCTTCACAACATTCATTACTTTTTCGTCCCATATACCACTCCCACCCAACATGGCTCTTGCCATTAATGATGATGTGGACCTACAGTCCCTTTTTCGAGTTAGACGATTTGGCCGATTTTGCTCATGATGTCGATTTCCATGCCGCCACGGCACGCTTGGCCACCATTCTTCAGCAGATGGATCAAATTTGCATTGCGCTACGTTTGCGCATGACAATCCAGATGGTGCAGTTGGCTCGACGCCAGAGTCAACATTTCCAGCACCACTTTCGCATTCCTCTTGTCAACCTCTATTTCCGATAGCTCCTTCCGCTGACAATTTTCCTATTGTTTGAGTCCCTACCCTAGACCAGAGCGCGCCAGCGTAGCCTCGACGACTCGTTGTCCCCACTGAAAGAAAAGAGTTTGCGGCAGCAGCGCCGTTGACCATTGTGAATTGACACATTATATGAGTGCACGACATATCACCGCAGAAAATGGGTCACAGAACATGAGGCTCCCATCATTTGTCTCTTACCATGTGTGTCCCAATTCATTTGTCTCTCAACTTAGTCGCTTTCAATCATCAGTTGTTTGATTTTTTCATCAATTCGCCTTTGTGCGCGTTTTCCATCCTTTGTTTTTCACCACCTGTCTCCCATTTAATTTGTCTCTCCATTCATATGTCTCCCCTAGTGGCCGTGTCCTGTTCTTGTTTCATCACGATTTCATTTGTGCGCGGTCCTTATCTCAGTTCTTTTCTCCCTTGTGCCTTCCTGTTGTCTCAGGAAGTACACCAGCATAGACTCCAGATAGCAATAACATGAAAAACATGTTGCTTCTGATTCATGCTGTTCTCAATTGAGATGGACTAAAAATTGCCAATGACGGGAAGTAGTACAACCACAACAATGCACGCACGCACGCAGACGTTGCAACGGATATAAAAAACTGTTTGGGGCCTACGGGGTAGAATTTGACACGGCTTGAGGCATGGGAAAATGTGTCGTTGTCGCATTCCACGGTGAACCTGCAAACCGTTGTGTTCAACGATTTTTCTTTCTTGTCATGGTCATGCAAAAAAATGTTACATGTTTTTGGTTCATGGGGATTTTGCGCAATCATGGGCAAAATTGGCTTCAATCAGGTAGAAGAGCATGCTTGAACAGTATGTTTGCATCTGAAAACAGGGAATGCCGTTCATCATGATTGTTTGATTTTCCTTGCATATATATATATATATTTACTGCTTTTCGACATAATTTCAACAACGGAAGTCCTTTGTGCGAATTATCAAACAGATGGTTGCATTGGACATGTGTAGAACATTGCGGAACATTTTCCTTACAAAAACGCAATCCTTGCAGATGTTGGCGCTTTTGTTGTTGGCCGTGGCCCGCGGGGATACGGTGAACGACAAAGCTTGGGAGCATTTTGGCCTGCTGAATGAACTCAGAGCAGAGGGTTCCTGGCTCAAATGTACAAAAAAAAACACAAAAATCCTTTTTGGGGATGACTGTTTGTTCTTTTTGAAAACCCGTTTCCAGCACATCAGCAACGGTGATGCATGCATTGAAACATCGCCATGGTGAAATGAAACGAATATCACAAATTGAAAGTGTCCAGAACAACATGTACGTCTTTCAATTTTTGTCAATTCTGCAGCACGGAAATTGCTTATCGGTTTTCATGAACTTTGAATGTGGGCCTGCCATGTTGACATGGTTTATGATAATGTTGGAAATTTTCATCTTCTTACCGCTCCTTTGAATGGGAAATCATGTTTCCATTCTCATACAACCCACTGGCCAAAAATATTGGAGATTCCCGGCATGCATGGTGGAGACGATTGGAGATCAATTCAGGAATTGTTTTTCCTTTAATGAATGTCACCTTCACACACGATGCTGATTGTACCATCCTGTTTTTGTTTTAAAACATTTTTTATGGGCATGCAATACCCCACTCTCTTGGCCGCCCCTCCCCGACAGGGTACATGGGGAAGTTTTGTATATCTCATTTTTTTGTGAATCTTGAAAATATTTGTCTACGATGCAGCTTGATTTGAGTAAAAATTATATACTACACATACGGACGCACAAGGTAGTATTGGCAATGTACATTAGGCAGGTACACTACAGGATAGTACGTGTCTAGTATTTGGCTACTAGCAAAGTGGTGCGAAAAGGAGGTATGTAGATAATGCATAGTGTTCAGGCATTTCGCAGCTGGTTTATAGTTAGCATACGTCGGGGATATTTCAGATAGTTTGTGGGTACTATGCACTTTGTATACAGGTAGGGGCCAGTTCTTATGTATATTTATATGTATGTAAACATACACACGTATATATATAATATTTATACATGTCCACTATTGAAATGTATTCTAATGCACTGCATTGCATCGTTGGGTTGCGTTGGGTTGCGTTGGGTTGTGTTGGATTGTGTTGTGTTGTGCCTTGTTGTTTTTTGTAGTGTAGTGTAGTGTCGTATTGTACCGTGTCACATCGTGTTGTGTTGAGCTGTGATATGCATTTTTGATTTCATGATTGATCTATTCACGTAATGTATGATGTATTACGATATCATATGATATGATGTGATGTGATATGATATATGATATGTGATGTATGATGTTTGATGTATGATGTTATGATGTGTGATATGTGATGTATGATGTATGATGTATGATGAATGATGCATATGTGATCTACGATCTAGAATCCATGATATAAAGTGAAATGAAATGATAGGATACGGAATACGATACGACACGATATGACACGATACGATACGATACGATATGATATGATATGATATGATATGATGCCATATGATATGAAGCCATACGATATGATACGATACGATACAATACGAAGCGATGATGTGATGTGATGTGATGCGATGCGATGTGATCTGGAAAGTAACGGAACATATCGTAATAAAACATAACATAATGCAAGGGAAAACTACATAATGTATAGTATGGCATGGCATAGTATCACTGTTTTTTTTTTGTGTGGTGAGGTGTAGTATGGTATGCCATGGCAATAAAGCATGGCAGGGTACGGGTATGGTACGGTATGGTTTGGCGTGGCGTGGGGCGGGATGGTATGGTATCGTGTGGTATCGTATGCTAATGCGTGGTATGATGTGGTATGGTATGGCTTAGCGTGGCATCACGTGGCACGGGATGGTAGCTGGTAGAGTATGGTAGCCTATGGTATCGTATGGTGTGGTATGGTATTGTGTGGTGTGGTATGGTCTGAGGTATGATATGGTATGGTATGGTATGGTTTGATCTGGTCTAGTATGGTATGGTATGGTTTGATCTGGTCTAGTATGGTATGGTATGGTTTGATCTGGTCTAGTATGGTATGGTAGGGCATGAAAAAGAATAGTTCTCCCGTCTGAAAAAGTACTGTAACGTTTCTTGTGAATCTACACCACTGTGATGTTGTCAGCTGGTTCGGACTTGCAGGCTTCACTTGCCCGAACGGTGCCTCCTACGCTGCCAATCCAGAGCCCCTGAAGTTCGACTGCAGACTCTGGAGAGCTGCAAGGCTCCATTCCGAGGAGACACTTTCAGATCACTGCAATGAATCCTGTCCTTGTAATTTCTAAGAGGAGTTTGATGGATCCATTATATATAATATATATATATAATTGTTGGTTTGAATGTGGAGTTGCAGATTTGCGGAGATGGCTGCAGGACATGGCTACACAAGGCTATTTCTCTCACACTTCCTTGGATGGTCGTAGTCCGTGGGATCGTGCCAGAGATCAAGGCATCAGTGCCAATGGTGAGAATATTGCAGCAGGACACAGTTCAGCTTCCAGCACTCTGCAGCAGTGGAAGGACTCAGATGGACACTGTAAAAATATGATGAATCCGAAGTTTCATGTTTTTGCGATTGGCTATGCCTACGAATCCTCTGCCAGATACCGGTACTACTGGACTCAAATGTTCAAGAGTTCAGATGTCTCTGACTTGGATACTTCTTGCTATCCAACAAACTCCGAAACCACTACGCTACCAACAACCAGCAGTGAGACGACAAGCACCGAGACTGACACAACTTCCAGTAGCACAGAAATCACAGAAACCACTACAACTACAGCTACAACAGCAAGCTCAACAACTACCACTACTACGACTGCAACTGAGACTGGCAGTACCACTTCTGTCACAACCACAGGGACTGGTACTGCGACGGGTACGACAACTGGCACGGCGACTGGCACTGCCACTGATACTTCCACTCTAGCAAGTGAGACAGGCACTGGGACTGGGACGACTACCTCTGCAACATTAACAAATCCAGAAACAGGACTTTCTGGAAGCACCACAACAACTTTGTCATCCACTTCGACAATATCAACTACCTCAAGTGTGCTCTCAGACACAGCAACTGGCACGGCCACGTCTACAGGAACCATCGGAAGTACTCTCAGTGCCAGTGACACCTCATCCACCTTCAGTAGCAGCACCAGCAGTCAAATCTTTCAGTCTTCCAGCGCTGCGAGCAATTCCACCCAGCCAGAGGAAGGCACGACCACAGCAGTGTTCGAATCCGTCGAGGGCAAGTTGGTCTTGGAAGTGTCTGATCCTGAACGCTTTCTCGCAGCCTCCACAGAGCTGAAAGGACAGATTTTGATCATCCGATGAATGATTTGAGAAGTCCATAGGCCTGATTTTCAGAATATCTGAAAAGTTATTATAATTACAACTTATAATTTATTGCTTTGTCTGTCTTCTTGATCAAAGTGAAACGCCCAGAGAGATCCACAGCCACAAATTCCCAGCACCATTGGAAGCATTAGCTCCCCATGACTTTCATGGTATGTCTAGTGGCATGCCGCGTTGCCTGCGTGGCAGAAATTTTTGCAGGACCCTTGAAGTCCTTTCTGTCGGAGCTTCTGCAGATCGACGTCAGTCGAATCACCATTTTCTCCTTCTCCTTGGCTCGGCGCTTGGGAAACCTGCGACGGCTGATGGCCCTGGCAGTAGACTATTCGGTGCAGGTGGAAAATACCAAGGTTGAGGAAGTGGTCACAGAGATAGTCTCAGGAAATACCACTAGGAGATCGTCGGCCGCGGTGGATTGGGGGGCAATGTTTAAATCTGCATGTTGCTTTGGATTCCAACCTTGGTCAAGTATGTTTGATGCTGGTTCACCATGCTTCACCCCAGGAGAAGTGAGCTGCAGGAGACTTTGCAACAGGATCTAGCTCAGATGAACATTACTGTTGAAGTAGTGGACGTTCAGGTGACACAGACATCTTTGGAGAAGATAGACCAAACTGACAAGGATGCTATGGCTTCGGCATTGCTTCCAGCTCTTGTCGGTGGAGTTGTGGGAACAATTTGCGTCCTTTGCCTTTGTGGATGTGTGGCGATGGCTTGTTGGACTCGTTGGAGAAAGAAGCCCAGCCTGCCCAGCAACTTGCCAACCATTCATGGCCACTTGGACGCGGGCGTTCAAAAAGCGCGCACTAATGCAACCGTGGCCTCTGCCGAGAGCGGACCCTATGTCGTTTCCCGTTTGTAGCCTTTCCATTCAGAGAAAGGCCTTCAGAAGGGATGCGCTGACCGTTAACCAATGCTCTCTCACAGGAGGCTGTTTGAGCCTCCGGGTTGATCAGCATTGGCATCGTCCAACCTTGCCATTTGTTCTCATGAGAATCGTTCAAGACTCTTCAACCTGAAGATCCTTTTAGCCTCCACAAGTTGAGGTCCTTTACATGTGGCTATGGATCACACATAGGGTCTCAAGACACCACCTTCAGATCATTTCTTTGTCATACAGGAACACAGGGAAATACACCATCCAGTTCTAGATTCTAGACTCAATTATCTTAGTACTTACCAGAAGTTTTTGCTTGTTGAACAATTTGTATTCCAGTTTTGTCTCTTAAACCATCCAACTTGAAAGCATGCATTTGATCCAAAGCCATTTTGTGCCACAAGGGTGGCAGTGTCTAGTCTGTCATAGCCTCAAGCTGCGCCATCTTAGATGTGTGCATTTGTGGCTGCGCCGGGAACTACACGGCTGCCTCAAGCAACTTTGTGCCATAAAAGATGCATCGACGTATTTTGTCCTAAATACAATTTATTGCATATGCGAGAAGACAAATGTCAAACATGCAAAACTATGTTGTTAAAAGACAAAATGCCAAGCACACCAAACTATATGCAAAGACAAATGCCGAGCACGCAAAACTACATGCATGGACAAATGTCGGCAAAGGTTGGCAAAGGTTGGTACTTATGTTGTAATGCTTGGATATGTGAGATGCCTGTAGTGGCAGGTCTATAGAAACCCTTTCCAGAAAACTCTTGATATTAGATAAATCATTATTTGTATTTTCCCATTGTTTCCAGTGGAGTTTGCAACATTCGTTGTTAAATCTGGAAACCCTCAAAGGTTGAAAAAAACTGGGCAAATGCGCCTTTGCCCGAAACAATTTATAATTACTTTACTTCATGTGATCCCCACCATGACATTTCTTCTGGCATTCTATCTGACATATCTTCTGGCATTCGATCTGGCATATCTTCTGGCATTCTACCTGGCATATCTTCTGGCATATGTTCTGGCATATTATCTGGCATTCTATCTGGCATATCTTCTGGCACTCTATCTGACATCCTATCTGGAAATTCTATCTGGCAAATCTTCTAGCATTCTATCTGGCAAACATTCTGGCACTTTATCTGGAATACCTTGTGGCATTCTATCTGACATTCTATTTGGCATACCTTCTGGTTCTATCTGGCATATCTTCTGGCATTTTATCTTGCATATCTTCTGGCATTCTATCTGGCATATCTTCTGGCATTTTATCTTGCATATCTTCTGGCATTCTATCTGGCATATCTTCTGTCATTCTACCTGGCATATCTTCTGGCACATCTTCTGGCACTCTATCTGGCATATCTTCTGGCATATCTTCTGACATACTATCTGGCATTCTATCTGGCAAATCTTCGGGCGTTCTATGTGGCAAACATTCTGGCACTTTATCTGGCATACCTTCTGGCATTCTATCTGACATTCTATCTGGCATACCTTCTGGCATTCTATCTGGCATATCTTCTGGTATTCTATCTGGCAAACATTCTGGCACTTTATCTGGCATATCTTCTGGCATTCTTTCTGACATTCTATCTGGCGTTCTATCTGGCATATCTTCTGGCATTCTATCTGGCCGTTGGGGTCCAGCGGTACTCACTGAGCTCGCCCAGGTTGAGGTCCAGCGGTGCTCACTGAGCTCGGAGGGTCCCAGGTTGAGGTCCAGCGGTGCTCACTGAGCTCGGACGGTCCCAGGTTGAGGTCCAGCGGTGCTTACTGAGCTCGGAAGGTCCCAGGTTGAGGTCCAGCGGTGCCCAGTGCGCTCAGACCCTTGCAGTTGAGGTCCAGCAGTGCCCACTGCGTGCGGATGCGTGCGGAAGTTGGCGAAGAGCTTGGCGAAGAGTTGGCAAGGCGGAAGTGAACATGGAAGTGGAGGCAGAGGTGGTGGAGGAGAAGGAGGAGGAGAAGAAGGAGGAGGAGGAGGAGAAGGAGAAGAACAACTCTGATAAAATCTAACAACCCGCACCTGGCAGGTGGGGAAAAACAAAATGACAATTACTCTGTTTGAATGTTTTTCACACGTTGGCGGGTTTCCAAGTTCGGATTCGAATTGTGTTCGATTTTACAGTTTATATATTATTTATTGTTTTCTATTTTGAATCGTTGGCAATTGTGGTCAATTTGCAGGGGAAAGCGTCGCACTTTCTATCACGGACATGTTATGTCTTCATGTCATGATTGTGCAACAAATTGAGCGAATTCGGTTGGAATGGATGACCACAATGATTTGGGATCCTTCAACTATGACTATGAAAGACAAGCAAAGTATGATTGAATACCTTCTGTCCAGTAAACTGTTCTGTCCCTTGATCTCTTGTTCTTGTGATGGCAATGCGCAAAAAAAAGTACGAAACATTTGTTGGCTCATGGGAATTTGACGCGACTGTGGGCAAAGTTGGCTTGAATCCGGTAGGTAGACTATGAGTGGACAAATTGGTTGCATCAGAAACACAAGACTTGATCCATTATCACGAATTCGGGGCACTTTTTTCACTTACATGTCTTTAATTTTTCCGCAATTTCAAAAATGCAAGTAAGTACTTCCACCACCGAACAATCAATCGGATGGTTGCATTGGACATTTAATGATTAGTTTTTTTGCCTTAAGACATAAATCCCTGCAGATGTTGGTGCTTTTGCTGCTCACCGTAGCCCGTGGCGATACGGTGAAAGGCAAAGCTTGGAAACATTTCAGCCTGCTGAATGAACTCAGAGCAGAGGGTTCCTTGTTCAGATGGCTGGGAGGGTCGTGTGTCCCTTGTTTCCGTTCGCAATTTCTTTGCACGTCAGCTATAGACATACATGGACTCAACTGATGCAACTATTCAACCATCACCTTGTTGAAATGAAATAATCTGTCAGAAATTGAACGTGTCCAAGACAACGCAGGTGCTTGGACATTGGTTTTGAACATTGTCTCTTTGATACTGTTTGACAAAGCCTTCGCTGTTTGGAAACTTCTGCAATTCTTGTCAATTCCTCAGCACAAAAATTGTCCACCTGTTTTCACGAACTTTGGATACGGGCTTGTTATGTTGAAGTGGCCGTGTGATTATGGCCTAAATTAGTAGAAATATCACGACCCATTACCCCCAAATGTACAGTTGTATATAACTACGTACGATAGTTCACCTCAAGTTCAAGTGGTAGTGGTAGATATAGCGCATGACACAAAAATAATCAAAAATAGAAGATATTCAGCTACCATTGGTATGGTTGGTTTTCCGAAAGCGGATTTCGGAAGAACAAGATACTGTAGAAGATATTGATATTATGTCAAGATAGTGCCAAAACCAGGGTCGGAAACGATGTTGGAACCGGGTCGGAGGAGGTTGCTTGTAACCGAGCATCGCAGCAGAGAGCAACCTCACCAGCATGGAAAAAGGAGGGCCGAGAACTTGACTTCAAGTTTGTCACCACGTGCACATGTTGGAGCTCAAGGCTTCTACCCTAGATAATCCCACGCAACATGGTCGTCCTTCAGCAGGCATATATATATATATATACATACACATATACAGACTGTATATTATTTGGTTCCGGCCGGCAACTGGCATCCCCTCCGCGTCCCCCAGTTGGCCTGGCCATACGCAACAAACCCACTTGCATGCTGGCTTCAAACCACCTATACCACACCCTACATACAGCCTATGGACAACCGACTGCTGCCTACTATACAGTGCCTCTATAGTAGCCGTATACTAGCCACCGATACGCTACTTGTATGATATCTCTATACGGCGTGGGAGTAAGCTACACCCTGCATGCTGCCCTTATCATCACCGGGGGTTGGGGGATTTGCTGACCTGTACAATATATATATATATAGATATACACATATACAGTATATATATATTATTTAAGTTCTTTGAACAAGTTTGAAAGAGTTGCACGAACGAATTGGCCGCAATCCTTCCCGGTGCTCAAGTGCAAGAAGTGGCCCTTAACTCCATGGGATTCCCCAGCGGCGCCATTTCCAGCGGCCACGTGTTGTCTCTCCTCCTAGGATACCTGGCTGAGCAGTTTTGGGAGGATTCCAAGGGGCTAGAGACATCTCTGGTGAACGCTGTTCAAGAATCTGGGCAGGTGGCATCAGATAGGTGTTTACGGGCCTGTGCTCCGGACCCGCCGGACTGCGGTACTCAGATCATTTGGAGTCACTCATTTCCATTTCACCTTGCCTTGCATCTTTTGACATTCACTTGCGGCGGGGGGTGAGTTATTCTGCTTTGGTGGTGCTGCGCTCGGCGCTCGACACAGACTTCAGTGGTCACTGTGTCAGCCGACCTATCTCCTTCAGCTGCTGAACAGCAACGTCGTCTTGCTCAGTTGCAGCTGGCGCAGGTGAAGGGGGGGCCCGCAAGAATGAGTCTCCTTAACCGACAAGTTCTGGTGTTATATGATGTGGGAGGGACAGATTTGTGGCATGAGAGATTGCCTCTTGAGCATGTGACTGGCGATGGATACATAGTTGTCACCCCAGGCCAAGATGTATATTATGAGGAGTTGGGATTGTTCAATGATGATCTCAACGGTATTAGAGTGCGTCCTCGCCCCGGCATTGATCCTCCTGGTATCCCAGCAGCCCAAATTTATGCGTTGCCGGCCTTCAGCGCAGCACAGCTCGCAAACCTGCGTGCTGAAGCTGCCCGAGAACTTCAGACTGAGAGGGCCGCTCGTGGAATCGGGCAGGCGCCCGCTCAGAAGCGGTTCCGGTTCAGCGTGCAGGTTTCGAAGCTGGTACGTTGTATTGGGTGGCCGCGGACTCAGTTGCCGATTGCAATTTGGGGATCAAGTTGCAGGAGTAGGCGTGCCCGCAGTCCAGGGTCTTAAAGCAGTTCACACAATGCCAGATGGTTCAGTGATGTTTGTTGAGTGTATCGATGGGGCGGACCGATCGGTCTTCATGCAGAAGCCCGCTCTTTGGGACCATCGGATCCTTCCCCAAGAGATCGACGCGCTAGGCAAGCCTGACTGCAGTTTGAAGGAGGTAGCCAAGAAGTCAAAGGAGGTTGAGGTCCTTTGGAATTTGGCCGGACCTCGCACTGCCCGGTGGTGCATTAGCTACTTGGTTGTGGAAGGTGTTGGTCTGGAAGGTCGCCATGAGAGATTCAGACAGTTGTGCAAGATTGATGCATCATCTTGGGGAATCCAAGAACATTTTCAGCTTAGCATGGTCTTAAAGAATGCCCTGCAGATTGACCAATTTGATGGATTCAACTCTCTGGCCATTGAAGTCATTTTCCGGAGGCTTCAAACCATCGAATACGCATACTCCGAGAAGGCTCGTGACAGTGAATCCAAGGCAGTTGGCGGGCGGCTCAGCCTCGAAGAGCAACAAACTTTTGGAGGACTGAACCGACAGGCGGGGACCCTTATGATTTGCCCGGAACTTTTGGATCATTCATGTCAAGGTTGAAGTTGAGCGGGACGCAAATTTGGCAAAAAAAATGCGCAAGGCCCGTGAAGAGCGGGACCTTGTACGAAAGCAAGGAAAAAAGAAGGGCGAAGACGCCCCCTGAAGGGGGCGGGGGTTGGGGCCGAGGCAGACCCAGCTCCGAGCGCTGTGCCTCGTGATAGTGCACAAGCCCGGGTGAGAACAAATCTCCTTCCTCTGCCATTGCTTGTCGAGGAAGATCAGTGCACCATGGATGTCAGTCACAAGGTGCTCAACAACACCATCCAGGCTTTGAATTCAATGTATGGCTGTGTTCCGAATGAAAAGCGGGCATTGGCCTTGGAAGATCACCTTTTTGGGACTGCTTCAATACAGTGGGACAGTCTGGCTCACATCGAAAAGATGGTACAGCAGATGGGCAAGCCTTCTGACATGACATGCCGAGGAGCACTCCGGTCGCTCCAGGCCGCCAGTGGGTACATGGGGGACCAGCCCGTGGGCTCACTGGCTTCGTTCAACCTCGAAGCTGTTTCTCTTCCCACGCCGGGATGGAAGCCAATTGACTTGGCTGACATTCGGGGCAGCAACGGGCAACAACGTGTGAACGAATTTGTTTCATCCGAGCTTCTGCCGACAGAGATTGCGAAGACAAGACTGGAGGCTTTGGGCTTGAAGAGGCCATATTCTGATCCTCTCCTTCGACCGACAAGGAAAGACTTACCATCAGTTTCTGCGCCGCCTGGCGGACAGCAACCTGATTGATTTCAGCTTGGAACCCCCGAAGGAGAGGATTGCCTTTTTCTGTGTCAGTAAAAAGAATGGGCGATTGCGGCTCATCTGCGATGCTCGTCGAGCCAACGCCCACTTTGCTGATCCAGCCCATGTGCAGCTCACAACAGGCGAAGGAGCGGGGAGAATGTTTTAGTGGGAACTGCTGATTTGAAGGATGCATTTTACCATTTGTCTCTTCCTCTTCCACTGCGTGACTATTTCTGCTTGGGCCCTGTGAGGGCTGAATGTGTGGGTGTCAGCGAAGTCAATGGCGCTGCGGTTAGCAAGAAGCGATTGCTGACACCGCGTGTAGCTGTAGTGCCAATGGGTTGGTCGTGGGCGCTGTTCCTTTGCCAGAAGATTCATGAGAGCCTTGCTGATGGGGCTGGGTTGGATAATAACAGTCGAGTGAGGGATAAGCACCCACCTCCTCCTACTGGTTGCTGCCACACACAATATGTTGACAATATGATAGTTTTGGGCACTGACCACGAGAAGGTCCGTGCTCTCCACACAAAAGCCACCAATGCTTTGAAAGGCTCTGGGCTGCAGGTGCATGAAGAAGAGGTGACGTTTGGAGCCAAAATACTGGGCTGGGAGATCACTGCAGATGGCATCTTCAGACCTTCAAGACAACGTGCTTGGAAGGTTCGAATGGCTCTTCGCGGACTGTTGCGAAGGGGACGCTGTTCAGCTCACTTGCTGAAAAAGGTGATTGGGCATTGCAGCTTCTTATGCTTGGGGTGTAGGGAATGTTTTTCTATTCTTGGTGAGGTTTACACTTTCATCAGACGACATTATAAACATTCTCTTGAAGTTCCTATCCCAAAATCAGTGCGTCGTGAGCTTGTCAATTTTGACGGTGTTATCCCTTTGATCCGCGGCTCCGTGGTCAACAACAGTACATGCAGTCGATGCGTCGGAATGGGGGTTGGGGGCAACTAGTAGCAGTTTTAGCCATACAGAGGTCAAGCGACTGGGGCAATTTTGTGAACGATGGAGATTCAAGGACCCTGTGATGCGCAATCCTAGGCAACAAGTTTTGGTGGAACAGCATGAAGTGGGCATTTTCCATTCACACAATTCGGATGTCGATGAGGGGTCGGGTTTCAGCGTTGATGATCACAATCGTTTTCAGCAAGTTCCTTTTGATGCAGTCAATCGCGAATGGAAAACAGTTGGTAGGCACAAGTGGAAGCAATCAGCAACACTCCCTGTTTATGAGGCCAGGGCATCCCTGTTTGCAGTCAGACATGTTTTGAGGCCTCGATCCGAACTTGTTTGGAAAGAAGCACTTGATACTTACTGACAGTATGACAGCTGCGTTGGGTATTTGAAGGGGTCGCTCACAGAAATTCCAGCTTAGAGAAGGGTATGCAGTTTGGGTCTTTGGCTCTTTGTAGTGGTTGCACTTTCCAATTGCGCTGGATCCATCTGAATGGAACCCCACAGATAACCCCTCAAGAGGTAGATAGCAGCCCTGGAAACCTCAACCTTTTCTCCAATGGTGATTCATCGACAGATTGCCCTGGAATCCCCACTGTGGTGGGGACCCTTGACGAAGGCGCGGACTCGAAAGAGCCCATCAGTCAGCAAGCATCATGTTCAAGGAGCCGCGCTGCCAGCCTTTCTCAACATTGGCCAGCTGGAGATGCAGCTGGCAAATTCAAGGATGCCAAGAAACCAAAGGAAAGAGCAGAGAAAGGTCCTGAGGCGACATCAGAAGTCGTTCAAAGCGAACAGCGCACTACTGGAGGAAGCATCAGTGTCAAAAGCTTGTCTGGCCAGATATGCAGTTCACTGGGAGGTTGTTCGTCCCCTGGTCCTCAACTGCAAAGGATGTTTGAAGTCCGCTGCAGTCGTCGACCAGTTGATGGCTGGCCACCTAGTGGATATGTACAAAGACGGCGAAGACCTGAGCACAGCAAGGTACAGAGTAGCAGCATTCATATTTCACAACCCTGTTTTGAAGAGCCCATCCATGACCAAGCTGCCAAGGGTCAAGCAATCGCTCAAGGGCTGGGGGAACCTAGCGCCCAGCCGCAGCCGGATGCCTGTTCCATGGGAGGTTGCATGTTTGATAGCCAGGCAAGCGTTTCTGGAAGGGTCATTTCATCTGGGGTTACATGTCTTGATGATGTTTGCTCTGTATCTTCGACCGACAGAGGCCCTTCGGCTGAGATGTTGCGACGTAGTGTAGTGTAGTGTCGTGTCGTGTACTGTACTGTAGTGTAATGTAGTGTAGTGTAGTGTAGTGTAGTGTAGTGCGTGTAGTGTAGTGTAGTGTAGTGCAGTGTGGTGTAGTGTAGTGGAGTGTACTGTAGTGTAGTGTGGTGTAGTGTAGTGGAGTGTAGTGTAGTGTAATTAGTGTAGTGTAATGTGGTGTAGTGTAGTGTAGTGTAGTGTAGTGTAGTGTAGTGTAGTGTAGTGTAATTGAGTGTAGTGTAGTGTAGTGTAATTGAGTGTAGTGTAGTGTAGTGTAGTGGAATGTAGTGTAGTGTAGTTGTAATGTAGTGGAGTGTAGTGAAGTGTAGTGTAGTGGAAGGTAGTGTAGCGTAATGCAGTGTAGAGGAGTGTAGTGTAGTGTAATGTAGTGTAGTGTATAGGAATGTAGTGTGGTGTAGTGGAGTGTGGTGTGGAGTAGTCTAGTGTAGTGGTTTGCAGTGGACTGTGTGTAGCCTAGTGTAGTGGAATGTAGTGAAGATTGTAGTGAAGATTGTAGTGAAGATTGTAGTTGTAGTGTAGTGTATTGGAGTGTAGTGTGGTGTAATGGTGGTTGTAGTTGAAAATGCTTCAAAACCCTCACGTTTTGCTCACTTTTGAGAAGGTGCAGATTCCCTTGCGCCTGCCACGCGAAACGATATTTGAACCTCCAAAAGTGGCGTGAACATGTGGTGTTTTGTACATTTTCACTTCGAAATGTGCTTCGTGCCACAACGGCGTGCACTTTTCCCACATCGGAACTTCCAAAAGTGGTCCGAACGTGGTGTGTTTTGTACATTTTGACTTCTAAATGTGCTTCGCGCCACAACGGCGTGCACTTTTTCGACATCTCAACTGCCAAAAGTGGTCCGCACCTGGTGTGTTTTGTACATTTTCACTTCGCGCCGCAACGGCGTGCACTTTTTTCGACATCGCAACTTCCAAAAGTGCTCCGAGAATGGTGTGTTTTGTACATTTTGACTTCGAAATGTGCTTCGCGCCACAACGGCGTGCAATTTTTCATCTCTCATCTGGCCAGCTGGCTCCGCACCCGCCGCTTTAGCGAGCCTACTTTTCGACCCTCCGGAGCCACAAATCATTGGAAAAACGCAGTGTTTCGCGACTTTCCTACCTTTTCTCGCATCTGCATCTTCTTTCTTCTTACGCTTTCTCTTCTACTCTTCTTTTCTTCTAATCTTTCTCTTCTCTCTGCCTCTTCCCTGCCCTTGTTTTCATCTGTCCATATTGTCGGAAGTTTGACTTCTAAACTTCCTTCGACTATACTGTATTGTGTTGTATCATATTGTGCGGTATTGTATTGTAGTGTATTGTATTTGTATTGTATTTGTATTTGTACATGTACTTGTCCTTGTATTTGTCTTCTCTTGTATTGTATCGTGGAGCACTGTTGTGTTGTATAGTGTCATCTGTTGATGTGATGACTGATGTATTAATGTCATGTTTGATATGTAATGCAATGCAATGTAATGAAAGGTAATACAATGTAATATGTAAGGTCATATAATGTCAGGTAAGGCAATATAACGTGAGGTAAGGTAATGTAATGTCAGGAAATGAGACATGTACTGTAATGTAATGTCGCGCAGTGCAATGCAATGTATACAATGTTTTCAGAATTAACATAGTGTAGCGTCAGGTGATGTAATGTAGTATATGGTATGGTATAGGATGGCACGGTATGGTATGGTGAGGTATGACATGGTAGAACAAGTCAATGGTATGTCTTGAAGAAACTGGTTAAACAATATTTGTTGTGAATCTACACAGGCTCCTACATCTATGGATGGACACCTCCCATTTCTTTGGAATGGACCCTTTGCCCAGTCCATTTTAATGGGACGTCAGCTCCCTGACCGGGTGTTGTCGACTGGTCGTGGGGACTTGCAGGCTTCACTTGCCCGAACGGTGCCTCCTACACTGCCAATCCAGAGCCCCTGAAGTTCGACTGCAGACTCTGGAGAGCTGCAAGGCTCCATTCCGAGGAGACACTTTCAGATCACCACAAGGAATACTACATTCTATGTAGTTTCTAAGAGGAGTTTGATGTATCTGGTTAATTTTTGGGTAAGAGGAGTTTGATGGATCTGGTTAATTTTTGGGTAAAATTTGGAAGACTTTCAGATTGGGGGAGATGTCTGCAGGACATGGCTACACAGGACTATTTCTCTCACACTTCCTTAGATGGTCGTAGTCCGTGGGATCGGGCCAGAGATCAAGGGATCAGTGCCAATGGTGAGAATATTGCGGCAGGATACGGTTCCCCTTCTCAGACCCTGCGGCAATGGAAGGACTCAGATGGACATTGCAAAAACATGATGAATCCGAATTTTCATGTTGTTGCTATTGGCTATGGCCACGACCCCTTCTCCACATATAGATTCTATTGGACTCAGATGTTCAAGAGTTCGGATGTCTCCGACTTGGATACTTCGTGCTATCCAACAAACACTACGCTACCAACCGCCAACACTGAGACCGACACAACTTCCAGCACAGAAACCACTACAGCTACAACAGCCAGCTCAACAACTACCACTACTACAACTGCAACTGAAACTGGCAGTACCACTACTTTTACAACCACAGGGACTGGTACTGCGACAGGTACAACCACTGGAACTGTCACAAGTACTGCCACTGGTACTGCAACTGGTACTACAACTGGTACTGTCATAACTGCTGCCACAGGTACTGTTACTGGTACGACAACTGGAACTGTCACAAGTACTGCCACTGGTACTGCAACTGGTACTACATCTGGTACTGTCACAAGTACTGCCACGGGTACTGCTACTGGTACGACAACTGGAACTGTCACAAGTACTGCCACGGGTACTGCCACTGGTACGACAACTGGAACTGTCACAAGTACTGCCGCTTCTAATGCCATAGGTACTACCACTGGTACTGCCACTGGTATTGCCACTGACACGAGCACATCTACAGGAATCATGGCTCTCACTGCCAGTGGCACCTCAACCACCTTCAGTAGCAGCACCAGCAGTCAAATTGGCAGTCAAATCTTTCAGTCTTCCAGCGCCGCGAGCAATTCCACCCAGCCAGAGGAAGGCACGACCACAGCAGTGTTCGAATCCGTTGAGGGCAAGCTGGTCTTGGAAGTGTCTGATCCTGAACGCTTTCTCGCAGCCTCCACAGAGCTGAAAGGACAGATTTTGAACATCCGATGAATGATTTGAGAAGTCCATAGGCCTGACTGCCAGAATATCTGAAAAGTTATTAAAACTTATCGAAGGAAGTTTAGAAGTCAAACCTCCGAAAATATGGACAGATGAGAAAGCAGAGGTGAGAAGAGTCAGACAAGAGAAGAGCAGAAGAGAGAAGATCAGAGCAGAGAAAGAGTGAGAAGAAAGAAGATGCAGGTGTGCGAAAAGGTAGCAAAGTCGCGAAACACTGTGTTTTTTCCAATGATTTGTGGCTCTGGTCGAAAAGTAGGCTCGCTAAAGCGGCGTGCGGAGCCATGTGGCCAGATGAGAGATGAACAATTGAACGCCGTTGTGGCGCGCAGCACATTTCCAAGTCAAAATGTACAAAGCAATCAAAGCACACCATGCCCGGACCACTTTTGGAAGTTGAGATGTCGAAAAAGTGCACGCCGTTGTGGCGCGAAGCACATTTGGAAGTCAAAAGTGTTAAGTGGTCGGTTCGGCGCATTTCTGGAAGTTGTGATGTCGAAAAAGTGCACGCCGTTGTGGCGCAAAGCACATTTGGAAGTCAAAAGTGTTAAAAACTGGTCGGTTGGGAGCACTTCTGGAAGTTGAGATGTCGAAAAAGTGCACACCGCTGTGGCGCGTAGCACATTTACAAGTCAAAATGCGCAAAGGAAGTTGAGATGTCGGAAAAGTGCGCGCCGTTGCGGCGCGAAGCACATTTCCAAGTCAAAATGCATCAAAATGCGCAAAGCACACCATTCTCGGACTACTTTTGGAAGTTCACATATCGAAAAAGTGGACGCCGTTATGGTGGAAAGCACATTTCCACATCAAAATGTAAAAAGCACCACATGCTCGGACCAGTTTTGAAGGTTCAGATCTGGTTTTGCGTGGCAGGCGCAAGGGATTCTGCACCTTGCCAAAAGAGAGCAAGACGTGAGGGTTTTGTGGCATTTCCAAAAACGATGGCGGGCGTGGGACATTTGAAGAGGATCTGGAAAGATGCAAGAGACATGTTCATCAGAGATGTTAGGAGGTCAGGGCGCTGATTTCCTGAGAGGTTGCATTTTGGAGCATCAGATCTTCAGGTTTGCTAAGATGATTTTGCGTGACAGGTGCAGCACTTCGAATGACCTGGCATCACTTTTGCGTGGCAGGCGCAGCAATTTATACAGATGGAGTAAAAAGCGGAAGTCCCGCAGAATTGCTTTGTTTTTGATGTTGCCAGCTTAGAAAATTGATGTTGTCAACTTCAAAAACTATGGGAGTCCGCAGCATAGCTTCGCTTTCAAACTTAGACAGGTAAATCGATAGATAGATAGATGGATAGATAGATAGAAAGATAGATAGATAGATAGATAGATAGACAACTACAACTGCAACTGCAACTACAACTACACTACACTACCACTACAACTACAAATACATTTGTAAATAGACCACACTACAGTACACTAATTACACTACACTACACTAATTGCACTACACTTCACTAGCTGCACTACACTACATTAGACTACACTACACTAAGGACACTACAGCTACAACTGCAACTACTACTACAGCTACAACTACAACTACAACTACAACTACGCTACATTACATTATCATGATTCTACACTACACTTACAACTTACTACACTACAATACGCTAGACTACACCTACAACTACACCTGAAACTACATCTAAACTACATTACACAACACTACGCTACACTAATCGCACTACACTACAACTACAACTACACCCGCAGCTACAACTACAACTACACTACATTACACTGCGCTACGCTAATTTCACTACACTACGCTACGCTACACTAACTACAGCCACAGCTACAGCTACAACTACAACCACACTAGAACACACTACAGAACCCAAAACTACAGCACACTACACTACACTACATTACATTACACTACACTTATTACACCACACCACAACTAGAACTGTAACTACAACTATGCTACACTAATTGCACCACACTACAACTACAACTCCACTACACTACAACTACAGCTACAGCTGCGCTACAGCACACTACATCCAGCAGTTGTGGGTGAGGTCACCACTGCAACCATTGCAACCACTGCAAAAAACACAACTCCAACCACCTTTCGGTCCATCAATGGGTTCGCTCTGCCATCCATGCGTCACAGCAAGTCACCTCTCCTATAGCGTCCTATCTTTGAAACTTCCGCCGCCGCCTTGTGCGGCACTACGAGTAATTTATTGATTTGTCTGTCTTCTTGATCAAAGTGAAACGCCCAGAGAGATCCACAGCCACAAATTCCCAGCACCATTGGAAGCATTAGCTCCCCATGACTTTCATGGTATGTCTAGTGGCATGCCGCGTTGCCTGCGTGGCAGAAATTTTTGCAGGACCCTTGAAGTCCTTTCTGTCGGAGCTTCTGCAGATCGACATCAGTCGAATCACCATTTTCTCCTTCTCCTTGGCTCGGCGCTTGGGAAACCTGCGACGGCTGATGGCCCTGGCAGTAGACTATTCGGTGCAGGTGGAAAATACCAAAGTTGAGGAAGTGGTCACAGAGATAGTCTCAGGAAATACCACTAGGAGATCGTCGGCCGCGGTGGATTGGGGGGCAATGTTTAAATCTGCATGTTGCTTTGGATTCCAACCTTGGTCAAGTATGTTTGATGCTGGTTCACCATGCTTCACCCCAGGAGAAGTGAGCTGCAGGAGACTTTGCAACAGGATCTAGCTCAGATGAACATTACTGTTGAAGTAGTGGACGTTCAGGTGACACAGACATCTTTGGAGAAGATAGACCAAACTGACAAGGATGCTATGGCTTCGACGGCCTCGACGTTGTTTCCAGCTCTTATGATGGGTGTAGGTGCTGGAGTAATTTGTGGTGTTTGCCTTTGTGGATGTGTGGCAATCGTTCGTTGGAAAAAGAAACGCAGTAGCCGCAATAGCCGACCATTCATGCCCAGCAGCTTACCAACTATTCATGGCCACTTGGATGCTGGCGTTTAAAAAAAACACAGGAAAGCAACGGCCTCCGCCTCTGAAGAGATCGGACCTGTGGCGTCCCATTTGTAGCTTCTCCAGAGAGAGAGGACTTCAGAAGGGATGCGCTAATTACAGTAGTGTTAGTATTCTGTCAGGAGGCTGTTTGAGCCTCAGGAGGCTGTTTGAGCCTCCGGGTTGATCTGCATGGGCATCGTCCAACCTTGCAAGTGTTCTGATGAGAATCGGGCAAGACTCTTCAACCTGAAGATCCTTTTCACCTCCACAAGTTGAGGTCCTTTACATGTGGCTATGGATCACACATAGGGACATAGGGTCTCAAGACACCACCTTTAGATCATTTCTTTGTCATACAGGAACACAGGGAAATACACCATCCAATTCTAGATTCTAGACTCAATGATCTTAATACTTACCAGAAATTTTTGCTTGTTGAACCGTTTGTATTCCAGTTTTGTCTCTTAAACCATCCAACTTGAAAGCATGCATTTGATCCAAACCATTTTGTGCCACAAGGGTGGCAGTGTCTAGTCTGTCATAGCCTCAAGCTGCACCATCTTAGATGTGTGCATCTGTGGCTGCGCCGGGGACTACACGGCTGCCTCAAGGAGAAAAAACTTCTCTGTGTATTTTGACGGCCTGAAGTGGACGGAGTAAATTTCTTAGACCTGTCGCATGTAACAAAAGACATCAGAGATGAGTCACATTGTACCCCTATCATGTCCGGCCCAAACCAGCTGAGCGAGCAATCTGGGAAGTGCAAACTTATGCAACATGCCACTCATCCTGACAGTAGATTTTCGAAGCCGATGCCTGGTAAAAAGCACGCGTGAACGTTGAAACACCAGAATTGTGCAGAATTGCACACGTGGCACACATGTTGTCCTAGTACGATTTCGAGGATCCTAGGTCGTGATCTTGCCAGTCATGTCGGAGACGCTGTCCTTGGGCATATGTTGCATGAACAGCAAGTACCTTGGTTGGCAGTTTTGCAGGTGCACTTCACTCACTCCCAAGCGTGCCCAAAGTGGAAAAACGGGTCACGTAGGAAAAGTGGGGAACATATGGAAAGCATATGGAACCATGTTTGCTCCCTCACAAGAGTACAGAGTCACCTGATACACTGCATGTGGTTGATTGTACCCGGGTTTGGAGTTTTGGAATGTCTTAGAATTGTCAAACATTCTTGTACTTCTGCCCTGTTCTTAAAAAAGACAAAATATGCTTGATACATTGTTGTGTTGGTCTGGTCTTTCGATTCAGCACTTTTGGGTGGTCTGGTCCTTTGTTTATTGTTGTGCGGGTCTCTTGCTTGCCAGGCTTACAGGAAAACCAATGCAAGCAATCCTGTCACGTCTCAGGCATCTTGGCATTTCCATGGAAGGGTATGGTTACAGTGCGAAGCAATTGAGTGTCTTATGTGTGTTGTATGGACTTGGAATGTGAGCATGACTACCACGCCATGCAACTTGGAACAGCTAAAACCCAGGAGCTGCGGAGATTTTGAGTTGGTGGAGTTCGAGGAGGGGGATATCCTCCAGAAATCTGTGGAGAGACTTAGCCTGCAAGCAGCTCCCAGCAGCTCCCAGCAGCTCCCGGAATCCGGGTTCTTGCCAGAACTGAATCGGTTCTCAGAGTTGTTGTGCTTCAGATCACCACACATTCAGGCTTTGAGACAGACAGATGGACAGATGGACAGATGGACAGATGGGCGTTCAGCTGTGGCATTGTCAGGGAATGGCAAGATGTCAAGTGCTTGATCGCCTTCGACTCCAAGGGCTTTCCTCTTCAAAAGTGCATTGAGACGCTCAGCAGATCTCACCCAGTCTGAAAAATGGTGATTTAATCGAAAAAAAGAGGATATCATGGGACTATACCAAATTGTGTGCGTTTTCAAGTGAGTGTGTGTGAGTGTGTGCAAATAGGGTATTCCTTCCAAATGGACATTTCAATAGGAATAATGATGACTAAGAAATAGATGGAATCGCGTACCCTATCTTCAGACCAACCCAAATGAGGCTTCATCAGAAAACAGAATGTGTCGAGCGTGACTTGTTGTATCTCAGGTACTGCAACCTCCGTCTCCCCACTTGCATCAACAATGTTCCTTGTCCAGGAATTTCAGTCCTTGTAGTCTGCAGAAAGTTCTGCTTGGTCCAAAATGCCAAGGTGGAAGCGCAGATCATCTTAGAGAGCAGGGTCGCAGTGTGACCTCAGACTCTGTGTCGCAGCTTTTCGCAACGCCATGGGTCAGTCTGAATCATTCTGGCTTCAAATGCTTCAATGTGACCCGCAGTGCTTGGCTTTTGGTGGGAGGTACAATATGCTGAAAGATTGGTGTATTCCTTGCCCAGACCACATCATCGTGGAACATGACAAGGTGGCACCAATGGGGCCGACCCTCGGTGATTTCGTTGGGTCGCAGCGGCCGCAGGGTCTCAAAATGGTTCAAAAAAGACCTTCCCAGGGTGGACAATTCATTGCGATCCGAGGAACATCCTGCAGGAAACAGACAACTTTATTGTACCTTGGCCAAATTGACGGATTGTAGAACATGGTAGAACCGTATTTCAGCTTTTGGGTGCCTGTTGCGGCTCTACCATGTCCGAGGTCTTTAATGGCAAGAAAATAGAGAAACCATTTGATGCTTGGCATTGGATGGAGCTGTGTGGACAGCTGACTCATGGCGTTTGTCTGTGGAGACAAATTGAACTTGCAAAGCTGAGGTGGAGAAACCAGAAGATGCGGACAGACACGATATTTATATTTATTATCCGCACCAAGCTGAGTTTTCAACTGCCTTTCCGTTTGTCAAAAAAGAAGGACCATTTAGCAAGCCTACGCAGCAAGTTTTTTAGATGCCAGAGATCACGATTGAACTGACTGAACTGATTGAACTGATTGAAGTCGTGAGTTTGGCCCCAGAGTCCAACTTTAGGCGAAACCTTGGGGGTGGTGCCAAAAAGCTCTTCCGAAAGGCAGGCTGGTATGCCTTAACAGGATTGGATTTACATCACCAAATGAATAGGAACCAACAAAAAGATAGAACAGATTGAAAAAGTACAATCTTGCTACAACTGTGATAAATTACCTTTCCACCTTAGGGGTGGCTACATGTTCATTCTCCGTCGTTTCTGATGGTTCACCTATCACCCACCGCCGCGATGCGACCTTGTGGTGAGGTGAAGGACAAGTCCAGTGACTCGTCGGTTGGTGTGCATGGCATGGGGGCATTGGCTTCAAACATGTAGCGATGAGTGAAAATCGGGGTACCCCAAAATGGCATGGTTGATACATGTTGACACGAGAAAAAAAATCAAACTAAACGTGCTGCGGGGGTTTTGTCGAGCCTTAGATTTAGACTCGTACCCTATATTGCAGAGATACTCTTTTTGTGTGTAAAAAGTAATCTTGGTCAACAGCTTCCTAGACATGCTGCAGGAGTTCGATCTGAGGTGAATTCGACCCGAAGCAGAATGCCATCCGCAGAGACGGGACGTACATTTACGACACCTGGCGCATACTTTAGGTGGTGCCACAGACTGACCTGGTGATGGTTCCGAACAAACAAATATGCACTACCTGCAGCGAATGTGGCAGAATTTATGCTGTGCTGCTTTGAATTCGCACCTGGGTATTTGAGCAGATTTGTTTGGCCAAGCATGGCAAGTGGTTTTCTGCCACTGGTCAGGAACCGTTCTTGACAACTTCCGGCACCGACATAAAGGCGGGAAGTGTCCAGGTTTTTTGAACAGATAACACCTTTTGGTTCAAAGTCAGAAAAGACACATCAAGACACCTAGCATGAAAGGATGCTGGCTTGCAAGGGCGCCTTTGTTTCCTCACGCAAGTCCCACGTGTAAATGGGGCTATAGCAAGCACAACTCGGGACTGTGAGTGAGTCGCGCCAGAGTTGGTCTTGTGGATGGGGTTTTGGAAGGTGTATACCTGTGGTGCCAGCTATGTACATGCAGAAGCCCGGAAAGCCCCGACCGTCGATGGGAAAGTCATCCGTTTGGAGCTTAGAATGAGCACAGAGCGGCACAAATGGGTCATGGCGATCAGCTGCGATCAGCTACGATCAGCTGCGATCAGCTACGACCAGGATCAAAGGATGGCAAAGAAGTGCGGTACCCCGTCGTGGCGGCCCCGGTGGCCCCGCTACCTCCGCTGACCATTTTGCATCTGCGATCAGACGCAGCGCCATACCGCTTCGAGGTCTTATCCCACGGCGAAAAAATGATTGCAGCCTTCATCGTGAAGGCTTTCATTTTGGTGATGTCCTGGGCATGCTATCCTTTGGCCCTGTGCCTGAAAGTGTTGGTACAGACTGGTTAAGCTCATGTTCCTTTTTATCCATGCAACACCTGACCCCTCTTGCTGGACATGTCGTCAGCTTCACCTGGTCTCAGGCTTTCCGCCAGAACGTCTGTGGTTTCGACATTCTTAGAACCGCCAATGGATCCTTCGTCCCTTGGCAAATGGGCAGCTTCGTGACCCAACCATTTGAACCTTTTGTTGGCTGAGGTCTGCGACGTAAATGGATGGTCCTTTGTGAAGGCATATCACTCAGTCGTTTTCCCTTTTGCACATGCCTTTTTTCTCTTGAATTCAGTTTTTCCATGGTGTTTCTTATGATGAAATCTGCATTTTGTGCCAGGGCAACCAGAAATACTACAACGACTGTGCGTCGTTGATCAGACAGCACCTCTTGGTGGAGTGTGGCGTCAGAGGCAGCGTACGGGATGGATTTTTGATCACTGACATACTCCAAGATTTTGGTGTATTGCAACATATTGCAACAGTATTTGGGACGGTGAAATGCGACTCGACATATCCTGACCATGTCTTGGTCAGGAAAGGATGAGCCCGTGGAACTTCTGAAAGCTCCCAGCAACGAGGCTGGTGAACTCACTGATTTCTTTTGGGTGCCAAAATCTGTTTCCAAACAACCTACGGACCTTTCAAAAACTAATCGACCCAGTAACTGAAGCACCCATTATCCAGCTTCAGGAAGACGAATGCCACCGGGTGAACTGTTTCTCACTGTTGGTTCCTTCACAAGAAAGTTGTTGGCCCGACGATGTGATCAACCCACGAGCCACTGGGAAGACCAAAACAGCACTCCTAGAGCCCAACACTGTAAATTCGGGAAATTGAGCATCCGATAGGAACTGGACAAGGGCGTCGAAGTCTCGAACAGCTTTTGCTTCGATTGCCACCACATGCCAGAGGTGGGGTCCAACGTAGTGATGTGGGCTATGTGTCCAGCGTCCAGCCCACTGGATGTTTTCTCAACAGAGTGTCTACGTACCCTCGGTGCCAGACGATTTCTTGTTTTGACAAAACACAAGTCCTGATTTCCTATCTCTGGAGCCTTGAACGATGTTTGGAGTGATTTGTCGACTGAGCACTTTCACTCCACACATTCCTGCCATAGTGTGGAAACTGCCCTCTTGCAAAACTCTGCTGCAGTCGACGGACTGGCGCTTGCGTTCCGTGTTTGCAGCGATCTCAGTTCAGAGTTTGATTGGGGTATTTGCAGAAATCTTTTCATGACTGACAATCGAAGTTTTTAAATTTCCCTTCGCAGCATCACCAATCCTTTCTTCCTCCAGTTGTTGTACCTTTGCAAACGACGGAGGTTGTGATGCGCCACGGTGATCGGAGGCCGAAGGAGAAACAGAAGTTCAAGACTAGGCACGGTCACTGTTACAATGGGAACCCTGGAATGGATATGGCTGTGTTCTATATTGGAGACCCTCCAAACTCACCAGAAATTGGTTTGATTTTAAAGGGATGCTACCTACTCGTTTTGGACACACAATTTTGATCGTTTGGTTGGCCTTGAAATCGAAGTGAATCGAACCGGCCATATTTTACAGACTTTACGGACATTACATTACATTACATAACATTACATTACATTGCATTACAGTACGTTACATAACATTACATTACATTACATACACTACATACGTTACATACATTACATTACATTACATTGCATTACATTACATTGCATTGCATTGCATTGCATTACATTACATTACATACATTACATTACCTTACCTTACCTTACCTTACATTACATTACATTACATTACACTACATACATTACATACATTACATACAGTACACACATTACATACATTACATGCAGTACATGCATTACATGCATTACACACATTACATACATTAGATACATTACATGCATTACATGCATTACATACATTACATTAATTACATTGCATTACACTGCATTACATTGCGTTACATTTCATTTTATTAAATTTACATACGTTGCATGACATTAGATTACTATTACATTGCATTTCATTAAAACATACATACATACATGCATGCATGCATACATACATACATGCATGCATCCATACATACATACATGCATGCATGAATGCATGCATACATGCATGCATACATACATACATACAGACATACACACATAAATGCATACTTACATACATACATGCATGCATGCATACATACATACATACATGCATGCATCCATACATGCATGCATGCATACATACATACATACACACACACACATACACACATAAATACATACTTACATACACACATACACACATAAATACATACTTACATACACACATACACACATAAATACATACTTACATACACACATACACACATAAATACATACTTACTTACTTACTTACTTACTTACTTACTTACATACTTACATACATACATACATACATACATACATAAATTATTCGAATACTTGGAGATGGGAACTTTGAAGGTTCTCAGAGTCATCATTGAAAGCATGCGCAACTACCAGGCAGGCAGTTTTCTTGAAGTATTTCAACAACCAGAGCGATGCCACCGAGGCGCAGGGACATCTTCAACATATTCTTTTCTTTGTTTGCAAAATTGCAGAAACTTAGCCTACAAAAGAAATGGTTGACAAAAAGCAAACATGTTCCACATAACTTATTCTTTACTGCGCTTCTCACGCATGGACGGCTGGCGGTGAATTGTTTCGATAACTTTTGCTCTGCGAAGACAGCTGTGTTTCTGTTTTAGAGTAGTATAGTCTTATAGTCTGAGGATGAAGTCCGTCTCGACATAGTCGGGGACCATACCCATAATACAAGACAAAAAGTTCAAAAGAGCACAAACGTTGACCAGAAGTCGAAATCTCATGCAAACTCGCTCCCACCGCACTGTCAAGAGATTGTGTTTTAGACCCTGCTCAGGTGAAGTTAAAAACTCCTGAGGAGTTGGAGAAGTTGAAAACTGCCTTGTTGTCACCTGGTTTTTTTTTGGGGTCGTCTGAGGATTCAGTGTCAGTTTTTCGGTTTGGGATTGGTTTTGAGTCCCTTGGCACCCCATTTTTCAGCCATAGCCACACCCGTTTGGCAATGTAGGAGTTTGTTGAGTTTGGGGTTGTGGATGATGCGACCTTGGCACCATCGTTGACGACGGTCACAGCTATGACAGCTGTCTGCATTGCAAAAACCAATGATATCTGATATCCACAACAAACATTCCCCAACCATCTTTTTGTCTTGCTGCCAAAATGAGCAGGTTGGGTGTGGGGTATGTGAGCAACTTCCAAATTTGGATCAAATTTGGGACATCCCGGACATCCCCATTGACACCCCGGTTCGGCTCAGGCAGACAATGAAAGAGATCATGTCTGAAATTTCGGCCCTCAAAACGGACGTGAAGGACTCGAGACCCGGCTCTTTGGCCCCAAATGGGCCCCAGTTGGTCCCAGTTGGCCCCCAGCATCTCTCCCTAGTTTGCATACCCAACTGCAAAGAGGAGTGAAGGTTGGGTGGACTCTGATCTGGTGACACTGCCAAAAATCCATTGGTTTTGGCTTATGAAACTCTCTCTCTCTTTGCCACTTTGCTATATCGATTGTCAATGAAACCTTGGCATTTGACCAGCAATCACGCTCTGAAGTGATTGCGCATAGAAAGAGATTTTGGATGGGAACCTTTCACCCTGGACCTCTGCGGTGCAGCTAGGTTGCTGTGACGGAGCCTCGTTGTCATGGCTCTACAAGTACTTTTTTCCAAAAGCGAATGAGAAAGGAGGCGTGGGGCTTTTGAGGAAGTGTGTGGCCAATTGAAAGATAGGGGAAGAAATCCTCAGCCGTTGCGCAAAGGAGAAGAGGAGCCTCGGCTGAATTTGAAAGAACTGGAGTTGGAGCCCCAGGTTATACTTTCGGAAGTTGCTCCAGCACCTTGCCCGATGCAAGATGGCTGAACAAGATCCAGTGGGCATTTCATCACAGGTCGGACTTCAACAACTTGGAGTTGATGATTCCTGTGCTGGCAATGCAGGCAGGGTGTTCTTGGCAGGCTGCTCTCTCACAATCAGTCGCTAGATCTTGGGACTCCCAAGGCATGACACATCATGCGGCAACATAGGCTGTTGAGTTAGAACCAATTGGCTTTCAGATAGTTTCTGGTCATTCCCGCATTAATATCATCGATAGGTATTATATAATAGGATTTAATATATATATATATAATAGGGTTTAATATATATATATATATATGCACCAGGCCCTGCCACCCCCCCCCTCCCCCCCACCCCCATGGGATGGGTCCCATATACTGGCCCCATATGAGATCTTCCCCCTCCCCCCCCCTGTGGTGTGGTGGGGGTGTGGCACTGTCCCCCTCCCCCCCCTGTGGTGTGGTGGGGGTGTGGTATGGTATGTTGGGTATGTATGGTGTGTATGGTCGGTCTGGTATGGCATGTTTGGAAAGTATGGTATGTTTGGTATGTATGGTAGGTATGGTATGTATGGCATGAGTGGTTGGTATTGTATGGATGGTAGGTATGGTATGTAAGTCTGTTGGGTATGGTATGTTTGATATGACAGTATGTATGGTCTGTATGGTATGTATGGTTACTATGATGGGTATGGAATATTTCCTATGTAAGGTAGGTGTGGTATGTATGGCATGTATGTTTGCTATTGTATGTATGGTAGGTGTACGTAGGTGTGGTAATTACATTTCATATGTATGGTATGTATGGTATGTATGAAAGATATGATAGGTATGGTATGCTCGGCATCATTGACATGTATGGTAGGTACGGTATATGTTAAACACAGGTAGTGTTGTCAGAGTACACAGGTAGTAAATAGGAAGTAGATACAGTAGATACATAGCACATGTATATATGACTATAGGTAGCACGTAGGTACTTTGAAGGAGTATGTGTGCTACGTAGGCCGCCTAAAAGGTAGCATGTATCTAGTAAATGCGAGGCTGGTAGTCAGAAATGCTGCAAAGACCTAGCAAATACGCAGCTGGACCTCAGAAATGCTGCCAATAGCTTGCAAATAGAAGGGAATTGGGGCTGCTACCTGGGGACCCAACCCATGGGGGGGGGGTGGAGAGACGGAAGACGGGACCATATATATATATATATTTTGATATATCCATTACGCTGGCAATCCCATTCATGATGGTAGGATGACCATACTCGATTAATCCCATGTAACTTGACCATGGCACACATGATTTCAGTCATTTCAGTGTCCCAGGAGCGCTTCTCTGGGTTTGAGAGGAAGATCCAATTGAAGGTGAGCCGGTGAAATGCCATGCTGCAGTTTGAACTATCGGATGTTGGACGTTTTTTTTGATTGGGTCACTTCCAACTTGCGGTCATTCCGTTGCACTACAAAGCCTACCAAGTAGCTTGCATATATAACTTATATAACTGGGGATATTCCACAATATTCCATATATAATATACATGGTTATTCACTGGGTTATACTGTATTTGTTCCCCAGACTTTCCAAATGGAATCCCCCCGTTGGCAACCAGCTGCCCCGTTGGTGTTGAGCTGCCCCGCTTCAAGGCAACCAAGTGGAAGGGCAACAAGGTGTGGTGTGGTGCAATCTTTGATGCAAAGGATAGATGTGATATCTGGGTATGAAACCCTTTTTTCTTGGATGGTTAATACTAAAATTGGATCAAAGTTGCTGTCCCTTTGGGTAATTTTGACCCATACTCATCTGAGTATGGATCCAAATTGGCTGGAAAAAAGGGAATGACTGATCAATGTTGATGCAAATCATGGTGAACATTTGAAGGATTTTCTGAGCCTCCAAATTCCGCCCATGCAGTACCAATTTACTGCGGAGAGGCTATGCCGCTGATTGGCAGGTACGAGAAGTGCAGGTGGTGGTCAAGTGGGGTGGTGAACTGACTGTTCCTCGGCAGATCAGCGCCGCAGTGGTGACAGAAGCCCGGAAATGGGGGTTCCTTTAGATTAAAAAAAACACCATTGGGAAATGGATTTTCACCTTGGGCAGGTTTCCAAGCTCCTGAATTCTCAGTAATTCATGCTTGTTCCCATAGCACCAAAAACTGAGCATCAACGTGGAAAACAAGTGGAGCTTCAATGGATCAAATCAGGTTTTGCGAAATCAGAATGGTCGCAAGAATAGTGGACTGAAACTTGTTCTGTGCGTACTCTGCCAAAAAGATCCCTATGCTTTTCCTTTTTCTTCCGACAACATTTTCTAGGTTGGCGGCTTGCAGCGCGCAGAATCCTTGGGGCAGACTCTGCGTGCCTTGACGCTATTTGGTGAGGTAGCTCATCCTGGTAGAAAACTGAGCTACTGTGGCGAGCCATATACATGTATATGTATATACAGTATATATATATATATGTGATATATGTGTCTGTCTGAAAATGATACCCCCCAATTCCAAAGGATTTTCATCAGTTTGCTCCATTAGCACATGCCAATTTCGGGGATACGATGTGTGGGAGGCTGGGGAGCTGGGATGCCAATTTATGATCTACAAATGCCTGACTTCGCGATGGCAGGTCGCCCCAAAATTATCTACTTGTTCGAATGATATAGCTAATTGATTGTCGAATCCGAAAGCCTTCACACAATGACACAACGCAACTCTATATGTTGTAGTCATTGTGTTTTTTGTTTTCGTGTTCTCGTTGGGAGTGGTCATGCCATCATACCTCGAGTGTCACCAATACTTTTCGCTTAACACATATGATTATAGGTGACATGCGCATTTCTATGGATAAGGTATCCCCATTTGACATGTTGGTCAAGGAGAGCAGCTCTACTTCGAGGATCCTGCAGGGCTTCTGCGGCTGCACTCCTCCTTTCGCCACGACTTCAAGCCCCTGGGCTTCAGGCTTGGGTGATTTCAGCCCGAAGTTTGATCATTTTGGCAGAATTTAACCAAGATGAGGCGATGTGTTGAAGGTGCATTTTGGTTGATATTGCACTCTTCATTTTTTTTTCCTCGCATGGATTTTGACCACCACGGGGCGGAGGATTCAAAGATTGCGACTGATCATCTGAGGATATACTCATCGCAAGAGGGACGATGTCTCATCACGGCTGCAGCTTTTACCAAGGGCTTCTTAGTGCCTTGGATTGCTAGCATTGAAATGATCGATTCCAAGACCGAAAGCCAGACCGCACTGGTTCGAAATCAGTGTATCAATCTGGGATCTTGCCTTCCTGATGGCAATCTGATGAGATTCATTCCCATGGCATCCGCCAAAGGAGCTTGATGGTGACATTATCCCGATCCTGGTGAGTCTGGTGCATTCAGAAGGTCCGGTTGGGTCATTTGCAAGAATCAAACCTGTCGAGTTTTGATCCTGAAAACTTCCGTGACCGTTGACATGAAAAGTGGATAAAAGTGGTAAAACTTCCACGTCATGATCTTCTGGGACTGGAGCTTTGAAGTGGCCCCCCTGACAGGTTATGGCCAGGCCGTCCTTGACGAACCGATCCCAAAGAAGGTGCCATTCCGAGTCATTCCGAGGGTCACACTGCAACCACGACATCCAAAACCAGGGACTATCCACTCGGAGTCTTTGAGAGTTTATACCCGGGCCCCACTTCTTCGAACAAAATATCTGACCCCGCCATTGCGCAGGTTCGGACGAGCGTGAAGGAACTGATTGAAGACATCCTGACAACAGACAAGGCGGGTGGTCCTTTGCATGTGATCGGATTAGATGTCTGACGGTTCTAAGCATTTGAAAGCAAGGCACCCGCTCTGAACTTGATGCCTGCGTTTTTACAGTTATTTTGTGATACGATGCCGCATATGCCATGGCATGTATTGCCAGCTTTAACTTCCGCACAGGATATCTTGCAGCAGCTCACAGCCAGAGGGTCGCTCTCCAACAATCCTGCGCTGCTGGGGTGCTTGCAGAAGATTGGGAATCCCCTAGCTCTACTGCTCCTTAGCTTGATGAGATAGGAGCCCTGGACTGGAGCAGATTGCATTCTGAAGACTGATTTTGAAGCAAGCAGCCCCTCGGAGTCATTGCGATGGCTTAAAAAGGGGTTCCATCGAATTATTGTGAAGTGACACATCTCACATTCTGTTTCAACCCAGGTACCGCATCAAAGAGTTGGCAGAGGATGGGCACTTCAGTTTGTGCTCCAAAGCTGGTCTGCAAAACTTGTTCCATGAAATCTCCAGGGTCAGAGAAGTGAGGCTGAAGAGCCCATTTTGAAATGATCCCAGATTGGACCTGCAAAAAAGCTGTCATCATCACCAGTGTCACAGTCGCAATTACTAGACAATGTATGTGGTGGCTTGTTTAGAAGGCATGCGCCAGATGGAAATTGATGAGCCTCTGAACTCTGAACGTCCTCAAAAGTCAGTTTCCTATCCCACACAGCATTAAGAACACTCTCCATTTATTCGCCATGGCACGGGAGGTTTGTTTCAGCTAGTTGGATCCAAGCAGCACTATGTCTCCTTGATGTCACCACTGTCCGCAACTGTCCCAGGAGTACATTCTCAGTATCTCTGCGGCCATGAAGAGATGTGAGCAGTGCAGCAGCTTGGGCACAGCCGTTCCAGTGGTTTCAATGCTGGAACAGTTTTTGGGGATGTATACCGGATATATATATACATATACGTAGTATATTTATATGTACATCTAATTATAGGTATATATATATATATGTATACACGTATGATATATACATGTAAAAGTGTAATATAAGTGAGTACATGGTATATATACATACATAGATACATAGATACATAGATACATAGATACATAGATACATAGATACATAGATACATACATAGATATAGATACATAGATACATAGATACATAGATACATAGATACATAGATAGATAGATAGATACATACATACATACATACATACATACATACAGACACACACACACATACATACATACATACATACATACCTACCTACCTACCTACGTACGTACATACATACATACATACATACACATTCATATATATACATATATATATATATAAGTATGATATATATATATGTATAAATATAAATCTAATATAAACGAGTACGTGATATACATGTATATATATATACATGCGTATATATAGATAATATATATATATATGTATGTATACACGTTTTTTTTCATCATGGCAGGGTCAATGAAAGTGATCCCCAAGATATCCCAAGATCATTTCCACCTTTCATTTCTCTTCAACCATGGACTTTCTCTGTCAGCGCTTCCAGCTGCATCTGGCGCTAAGATTTTGATCCCGACGATGAAGCACACGATGACGCTGTGCATTTGTCAGACATGAGTGGTTCTGTACCCGTGCCCTGGCCTGGAACCATGAACCGTACACCAAAGATGAATGTGTAAAACAAATTCTGTTCTGGTTGATGGGATGGCAGCAATACCCTTCTTTCTCAGACGGCACTTGGAAACCGGATCTTGAGGATCCAATGATTCCTTTCGACCTGGAAGAGTCCTCCAAACGGATGTATCTCCACTTGCGTCGGAAAGAGAATCGTTGGAAAAAATTGTACAGTGGGCCACTTGGCTGCATGAAGGCTGTTCCACCATGAGTGAACAGCATGCAGATGTGGGGATGGAGACCTCCCTAATCAAACGATATTTGGATACCTGATTTTGACCAACACCTTCGCCGGCCACAGTGTTCCACCAAGGTTTGTCCGAAAGGCAGGTTCTGGGCTGTTTGAGGTTGTTTGATGGAATGCAATGATGGAAAACCAACTACACCCAAGAATCCAAGGATATGTGGACCCTCAACTTGGACAAAATGAGATGCATCACTAGCTGGCTCTATTTTGCATGTGGTAGACACAGATCTCTCAAGAAAAGATTTTGTTTGACTATTCAGCCTGTGCGTGTGTGTGACCACCCTTGCTGCACGAAAGGGCAAAAAAGACAAGAGCATGTTTGACACCAGCAAGATCCCGGATATCTGGGACAATCTCTACTACGATCTCATCACCCACAGGCCTGACCTGGAACCTTTTGGTCGGTGACAGCCCCAAATTGGGACAGGGTCACGTTGGATTCCGAAACCCAGGAGTTATTTGGGTGCTGAGTCGGTGAACATTGCGGAGAAGATGGTGTGCTATTTGGCCGCGTCCAGAAACCCGGGTTCGGTGGTGGATTTTGTTCATTTTGGGGTCTTATATGTGGGGGGGTTGTTGTTCTGGGATACAGCATCATTTTTTTTTGAGGAAAGGCTGTCTTTAAGTTCATGTCTTTCCCACTGCCCAGGCTTAGTGGAACCATTGGCAGCACCTTGGCTTGATAATTTGTGCATGTTTGCGCGACGTTTGGCTGCTTAAAGACTGCTTGGTGCAACCTTTCTGTGGTTTCTGGTGCCAGGAATGGGTGGCTGACTCTGAGCGTCTTGGCTGACTGGCTGCTCATGATGGTAGTTCCAACATATTCCCAAATGTATATACGTATTATATCCCAATGTCATGACAGGCATAGTCCTGTGAGCCTGCAATCTTTGAGGTGGGCTGAATTTTGGAGCTGATAGCATTGTATAGCATTGTGTGTTTTCATGTTGGCGCTCCTTCTTTATCATCTTTAACATCTTCACCGAAATCCACAGCGGGCGATGGCGCCCCAAGTGTTGTTTGGATGTTCGATCCTGTCAACGACAACATTGTGGGTCTCCCATGGCTTGGGGTGAGGTATGGCATCACAGAGGAAGAGAAGGTGAAGATTGGGATGGCCGTTTCTTGGCGACTCATTGGCAAATGCTTGCAGGAATTGGAGCGCCTTTGATGCAGTATGATCCATCGGAACCAAGATCCAGAGTTCAGGGCTCAACCGATCTACTTGTCGGAATAGGAACATGTTTGATATGGGTCCATGGGTCGACATTCAAGATGAAGGGACCGGCGGTTTTTGGTCACTCTTGGCAGGAACCATCTATTTTTTGTCCAATCTCGACCCACGCTCATTTGATGGGGAAAGCCTTGTTTGGTGGGTTCAATTCTGCCCATGCCCTTTTTGGACATCGGTCTTAGCAGTGTCAAATCAAGATGGTGAGGTGGACTATCTAGGCTATTATGCTCTCATTTGAGATCGGGTCCTCAAAACGATTGTCAGGGACTGGAAGAAGGCGAGCTTGCTCACTGCATCCCTTCTAATCAGAGCAGTGAACATGATCTTTATCTGGTCAGTCCCGATTGTTAGTGGGTCAAGTCCCAAGTTTAGTCAAATCTAAAGTTCAGCTGGTCAGTACCAAGGTTGGTTCAATCCTCCTTGTTTTCCCATGAGTTCAGTCCCATTCTTCCCAAGGCACTGCAACATCCCGCCGACCCCGGAAGCCCCTGTCACTGACAAACCTGGCTTCGCGCGGCGGATGCTCAGCAGGGTGATCTCCAACTCAGGGTCCCGGGCATCTGGCATCCTGGAGGATGGGAGCGACGGGAGCCACAGATTTTTGGATACCCATGATATCCCCCAAAGGACCCAAAGAACAATTCTGGTAGGGAAGAGATGCGAAAATGATCATTAACCAGTGGATAGAATATCATTGACATGACACCGAAAAAACAACTAAAAATAAACACAGGGGGAATATATCCAAATATAGGGATTGCATGAACAAAGATGGACATATACGACAACAAAATGGGGATTTCACCTAGACAAATTGGGATCGTGCCATCGAAAATGGCGATGCAAGACCACTTTTGGTTGTTCTGATGAGATCAAGCAAAATGTGCAGCAGATTGCTCGGCTTTACCCCTGATGCTTCACCGAAATTCGGATGTAACCAACAAAAATCGGACATGAGAACCCAACACTGAAGGGACGCAACGAAGCAGGATGGGTTTATATAATTCATGCCCGTGGCAATTTCCACACTAGAAATGGATGACTTGTGCATGGTCTAAGCGAGATCCGTAATGTATTGGAATTTCAAATTTGGAGTCAGGTTAGTCATTTTATTGTTAAGGGGTTGGTCTGAGCATTTTATTGGCCAGGGAAATCCTGATGATTTTTGACATGTTAAGATTCCATTCTACATAATTTATTGCAAAAAATTGACTGTTTGCAGCATTTTATTGCAGAATGGAACCAGTGCTTTTCCAGGATCTCTTTATATCGATTTTATTGGGCATGTCATTTTAGATTATCGATTTTTAAGGAATTTAAAGGAATTCTCAGGAATTTTTAAGGAAATTTAAGGAATGTTTAAGGAATGTTTAAGGAATGTTTAAGGAATTTTGAGGAATTTTGAGGAATGTTAAGAAATTTTAAGGAATTTTAAGGGATTTTAAAGGATTTTAAGGAATTTTAAGGAATTTTAAGGAATGCGGAGAGAAAAAGTTGGATTGCTACGAACTGCTGACTTGGAATCTGGCCATGCTACAAAAGGTACATGAGAATGCCACCGTATTTTGTTGCTATAGAATGCTATAAAAGAAGAAAAACACTAAATATTTGGGCACTTCACTCTAAAATACCTCTATCATCCTCTATCTAAAATGAATTTCCTGACCCCTTTTTAAAGAGGCGTTTCTGAGGGTCTTCGAATTTGGATGAACTTGGTTGCCAATTCGGCGTGAATTTGCTGGAAACGCATTTTATAGCAGAACCAGTTCTCATTGTTTTTGTGCATTTTAAAGCCTGAGGGCCTATGCACAAAAGCTAGACCGCTCTAAAACTGCTGCACATTATCACATATTGAATTGGCACCCCGATTTTAATTCTATATAAATATTCCTACACTGGGATTGAATGGGAATTGATTGGGATGAAATACGGCTTCATTTAGTAGGGACCCACCGTTGCAGGGACTTGGCCTGCGAGGGTTTTGGACGTTGAATCCCAGGTTGAAGGACGTTTTCAGGTAGTGGTTCTTGGAATTGTCGAATTAGTATGACTTAGTATGACTTTGTGTATGACTTAGATATATCTGATGCATGACCCCAGCTTGAATTGTTCCATTAATATTGGTCGCCCCGTGGGTAAATCGTTGGTCTGGAGGAGCCAGTGAGAAGTATTTCTCCAACCACACCCAAGCAAGTGGAGCAACCCGAACGCACCAGTATTTCTTTCACATGTTCAGCTTGTTCCGAACTCACTGATCGAGTCTACGGGGAAAAACGATCCGTTTGGGCCGGACTTTTGGAGCTGAGGTATCGCGGGGAGAATTCAGTGGGAGATGCTGGAAAGGAGTGGCTACTGGGACCTCCAGAGATGGGCATCCCGATGGCTGTCATGGGCATGTTCGACATGCCGGGTTTGTTTTGTGTGGAAGAATGATTCTCCTTTCAGCAGCTTGAACCACAACATCATCCGCCTTCAACAACCCAAAATATATGCACCAGACCAGTTGGAATGGCCACCAAAACGATCCACAAAAAGAATTCTTCCAGATAGCTGGCACACCAGGTGGGTTGTCTGAAAATAGGGTGTCCCAAAATTTGATGCTTAATCCTTTTCACCATTAAAATTTTAAAATGACCGTTTTGACGTATCCCCCATTTTCATGCAGACCCTCACTGTTGCCAAGGCGAGAAATGGCTGCCTCTTCGATTGCCAGCTCCAAACCGAATTCCCCGGCACCGGTGGACATCGCAGGGGATCCTGGGCGTGTTTTTTTTGAAACCATCAAAGGAGTCGACAATCGGAGGCAATTTCCGGACATTATCGAAACCTATCGGAGTTCACATTTTCAATATAAACACTATGACTGGCATGCCTAGTATGACCACTAGGACCAGTGTGACCTGTATGACTCCGTATATCTGTATACTGTATGGATACAGCCAGACACGAGAATCGACTTTCCAATAAAATCATTCCTCAAGGCACAGATACCGGTGGACGAGGGGCTCCCAGTGATCCCGGTGAATTCGGAGTTGCTTGGTGCTGCAATGGTGGGCTAACAGCCATCATTCGCACTGTGTGGTGTGGAGCTGATGCATTTGGCATCATTTGGCCGAGATAAAAGGCAGCCAACTAGCATAGCACAGTTTTTGAAGAATCGATCCGACAGTAGGGGCTTGGGTTTGCGACCGATTCCGAGGATATCAGAGGCGGAATTCGGTTCGTGCCTTGGCAAGCAGATCCAGATCAAGTGATGATTGCAGCTGGGTCACTAAGAATTTTGATCAGCCACAAACTTCATGAAACCAGGGATAGAAAGAAATGGTTATCCAAACATGTCCACATGGTTGGGGTCTTATCCGTCTTAATCCCCATTGATCTCTTTGTCTGCTATTTGTAGGTCGCTGATCTGCCATACTTGGTGCAGGAAGTCTCTGAAACGTCTGACACCAGAGATGCGACGCAATATCACCCGCTCGCTCCGGGACGACTCGGATTGGCATCCTCAAGTGCAGCAGGAGGTGTGGCCAAGCAGCTTTGGTGGATGGGGTTGGGAATGGGGATAGGGATGGATGACTTGAAAATACTTGAAATATCTGAGTGTCTACAGATATCTACAGATACAGCAGAGATGAGGTGTTTTGGATGGCCTCGCATGCAGATCGGCAGATGTTTGATGGCATGACAGGTCCATAAGATGGCCGGACTGGAACAGGACATGGTGTCGCTTGACTGGAAGCTTGAGTGATGTCCATCCTGAGAAAGGAAGCCCACCGCGTTGACCATGATTTGCTTTGGGCATCCATTGGACATCCATTGGATGTGTTTTCAATTTTTCCGCCTAAAGGTGATGATTTACCTGCAAACGAAATGCTTTCCAATGGGTCAAACCACACCATCTCATGGAAAGGTGAGGCCCTTCCCTGATGCACGGGTGACACCAAGGCGATCAAGAATTTTTGTGACCTCCGCTTCTACCATGCACACTCTCATGAGCGTCTTGAGATTTGGTCACATCCTCAGCCCTGGGATGCCCTGGGATGCCCTGGGATGGCTGTGGAAATCTTGGGACATGGTCAGACAGCCGATGCCTTTTGGCGATGCTGGCCCTTTGCAGCAATTGCGACCGGGAATTGCTGCTGCGGGATATCAATTCTTGCGAATAAGTGGATTTTGCTGGTGCTTTAAGGTGCAGCTCTGATTCCCATCCTTCCCATCCTTGGCTTGTGGATCTGTGGTTTGTTGCCCTTCATTTTTTCTGGGTGATCTGCCCAGCCTGCATGGCCCTAGGTGAAGGGCGCCTGGCAGCGGATGGCAACCGAGTGGTCGATTTGAATTACCTGTCCCACTTGGCTGCCCGGCTGCTGATGTGAAGCTCACTTGTCCCAGAATTGGATGAAAGGAAATCTGAAGGACATCCTGATATCTACTGAATCTACTGGGAGAACCAAATTTTTCTGTAGCTTTTTCTGTAAACTAATCCATTGAAGTCGAACCCACAAGGGCGCGGCAGTCTTTCTTTTTGGGATCTCTGCGGTTCTAGATATTCCTGGGATTTATGAAGCAGTTCGAACTGAGGTCATCCGATGCTATGAGCACCTCAGCTGATGGTGTCATGATCACGACTAGGGGCAAAATCCATTCGTCGAGAATTCAGTCTTGGTATATTTGGTATCCATCTCCTCCAACTTGTAGAGGAAACATGACAACATTGGACCCAACATATTGGTGCCATTGGAAGGCGGACGAAGCGGAGTGGAGGCTCAGTGACTTGGCAGAATCTGTTCTTGCCACTGCAAGTGGCAGATTGATGGCTTCTCCCATGGGTCGGGTATGGGTCAAATTCAAAAGAGGTGGCTGAAACAACTAGCGGACTTATTGTGTTTTTCTTAAACATATGTTTATATATATATATATGTATTTATATAGATAGTTAAAGAATGTTAAAGATAGGTTTCATGAGAGCATATTTAATCCAGCCATCAGCGTGGTAGACAGCTGGCCTTGGGACCTTCCTCACCAGATGCGTGTCTGAAAATGGGGTATAGCCGCACCCCAAAATGGCCATTTGATGGGGATGATGATCAACCATCAAAGTCTGGGGTACCCAATGAAAAAACAAACCATGTTTCTGTTGTGCACTTCGGTAAAGGATATAAAGTCTTAACGCAGTGAACTATATCAAGACACTTTTGTGCTGAGCATTCTCCATTGGACTCACTTGAATTTGCATCCTCAGGACAAGGACAACTACCGCAACTCGGCTTCAGTCAAGACGTGCTGCTCATATCGGGATCAAGTGAAAGAATGTTTCTGCAATCAATAACCATCTAATATTTACAAATGGTGCCACAAGAATTTATATGATGCGCATGCTGATTCAGCAAATTTATGGTCAGTTGCATGCGTAATGTTCTATGTCTATACACATATATCCCAGAATTGAATGATGGGACAATTTACATGAAAGCCCTAGCCTATATATAATATATAATAATATACATACATACATATATATATATATACGTATAAGCATACACATATAATTGAAGGTGTATATATATAGTAATAATAATAAGAACAACAACAATAATAGTAATAATAATAATAGTAATAATAATAAGAACAATAATAATAATAAGAACAACAATAATAATAATAGTAATAATAATAAGAACAACAATAATAGTAATAATAGTAATAATAATAAGAACAACAAACATAATAATAGTAATAATAATAAGAACAACAATAATAATAATAAGAACAACAACAATAATAATAAGAATAACAACAATAATAATAATAAGAACAACAACAATAATAAGAACAACAACAATAATAATAATAAGAACAACAATAATAATAATAATAAGAACAACAACAATAATAAGAACAACAATAATAATAAGAACACCAATAATAATAATAAGAACAACAACAATAATAATAAGAACAACAACAATAATAATAATAAGAACAACAATAATAATAATAAGAACAACAACAATAATAATAATAAGAACACCAATAATAATGATAAGAACAACAACAATAATGATAAGAACAACAACAATAATAATAAGAACAACAACAACAATAATAATAAGAACAACAACAACAATAATAATAATAGTAATAATAATAATAATAAGAACAACAACAATAATAATAATAAGAACAACAACAATAATAATAATAATAATAAGAACAACAATAATAATAATAAGACAACAATAATAATAAGAACAACAACAATAATAATAATAAGAACAACAATAATGATAATAATAATAACAACAATAATAATAATAAGAACAACAACAATAATAATGATAATAATAATAATAAGAACAACAATAATAATAATAAGAACAACAACAACAATAATAATAACAGTAATAATAATACTAAGAACAACAACAATAATAACAATAAGAACAACAACAACAATAATAATAAGAACAACAATAATAATAATTATAAGAACAACAACAATAATAATAAGAACAACAACAATAATAATAATAAGAACAACAACAACAACAATAATAATAATAAGAACAACAACAATAATAATCATAATAATAATAAGAACAACAACAATAATAATAATAATAAGAACAACAACAATAATAATAATAAGAACAACAACAATAATAATAATAAGAACAACAACAATAATAAGAACAACAACAATAATAATAATAAGAACAACAATAATAATAATAAGAACAACAATCATAATAATAAGAACAACAATAATAATAATAAGAACAACAACAATAATGATAATAATAAGAACAACAACAATAATAATAATAATAAGAACAACAACAATAATAATAATAAGAACAACAATAATAATAATCATAATAAGAACAACAACAATAATGATAATAATAATAAGAACAACAACACTAATAATAATAATAAAAACAACAACAATAATAATAATAAGAACAACAACAATAATAATAATAAGAACAACAACAATAATAATAATAAGAACAACAACAACAATAATAATAAGAACAACAATAATAATAAGAACAACAACAACAACAATAATAATAATAAGAACAACAATAATAATAAGAACAACAACAATAATAATAATAAGAACAACAACAATAACAATAATAATAAGAACAACAATAATAATAATAAGAACAACAACAATAACAATAAGAACAACAACAATAATAATAATAAGAACAACAACAATAATAATAAGAACAACAACAATAATAATAAGAACAACAATAATAATAATAAGAACAACAACAATAATAATAATAAGAACAACAATAATAATAATAATAAGAACAACAATAATAATAATAAGAACAACAATCATAATAATAAGAACAACAATAATAATAAGAACAACAACAATAATGATAATAATAAGAACAACAACAACAATAATAATAAGAACAACAATAATGATAATAAGAACAACAATAATAATAATAAGAACAACAATAATAATAATAAGAACAACAATAATAATAAGAACAACAATAATAATAAGAACAACAACAATAATAATAATAAGAACAACAATAATAATAATAAGAACAACAATAATAATAATAAGAACAACAACAATAATACTAATAAGCACAACAACAATAATAATAATAAGAACAACAATAATAATAATAAGAACAACAATAATAATAATAAGAACAACAATAATAATAAGAACAACAACAATAATAAGAACAACAACAATAATAATAATAAGAACAACAACAATAATAATAATAATACTAATAATCATAATAATATATATATATAATAATTATAAGAATAATAATAATAATATATATATAATAATCATAAGAATAATAATGATAATATATATATATAATAATCATAAGAATAATAATAAGAATAATAATAATAATATATATATAATAATCATAAGAATAATAATAATAATAACAATATATATAATAATCATAATAATAATATATATATAATAATCATAAGAATAATAATAAGAATACTGATAATAATAATAATATATATATATATAATAATCATAAGAATAATAATAATAAGAATAATAATAATAATAATATATATATAATAATCATAAGAATAATAATAAGAATAATAATAATAATAATGAAAATATATATATATATATAATAATCATAAGAATAATAATAAGAATAATAATAATAATATATATATATAATAATCATAAGAATAATAATAATAATATATATATAATAATCATAAGAATAATAATAAGAATAGTAATAATAATAATATATATATAATAATCATAAGAATAATCATAAGAATAATAATAAGAATAATAATAATAATAATATATATAATAATAATCATAATAATAATAATAATATATATATAATAATCATAAGTATAATAATAAGAATAATAATAATAATATATATATATAATAATCATAAGAATAATAATAATAATATATATATATATAATAATCATAAGAATAATCATAAGAATAATAGTAAGAATAATAATAATAATATATATATATAATAATCATAAGAATAATAATAATATATATATATAATAATCATAAGAATAATAATAAGAATAATAATAATAATATATATATAATAATCATAAGAATAATAATAATAATAACAATATATATAATAATCATAATAATAATATATATATAATAATCATAAGAATAATCATAAGAATAATAATAAGAATAATAATAATAATATATATATATAATAATCATAATAATAATAATATATATATATAATAATCATAAGAATAATAATAAGAATAATAATAATAATATATATATATATAATAATCATAAGAATAATAATAAGAATAATAATAATAATGAAAATATATATATATATAATAATCATAAGAATAATAATAAGAATAATAATAATAATATATATATATAATAATCATAAGAATAATAATAAGAATAATAATAATATATATATATATAATAATCATAAGAATAATAATAATAATATATATATAATAATCATAAGAATAATAATAATAATAATAATATATAAATGTGATATGTATGTATATGAAGAAATCCATTTGATGGACCCCGCCACCAGATGGTTTTTTCGTGTAATCCGAGGCGTGGAGATTCACTTCTCCCCGGGTGTCCAATTTCTTGGTGACACCAGCGTCCCAGGGACCTACGTGGAAGAAAATTGTCACTTGGAGATTTACTGAAAAACTGATGCTCACAGACTCACAGATCAAGGATCTCAGATACATATTCCATGTTATTCTTGAATGATTCACTTTGATGATTCTTGATTCTTAAACTGTTTGTCCAGGCAGCCTTGCATGATTGCATTTTGTGACAGATAGAGCTGCTGTTCTCCTAAACCCGACCACGTGGTTCGAATTGATTACATGATGACTTTAGTCTCTACCCAATAACGATAGTAATATATAATAAAAACAATATGTTTTTACAACCAACTCAACAGATACAAATCTCAGAGTTTCCTCCAAAAAAGGAACCCAAAACTATTGGTTTCCCCATCAATCATGGCCAATTTCGGATGATTTTGGGTCTCTCCACAGAAAGGCACTGTTGCGCCGCTGGAACTGGTGGGTGAGCGAAAGCTCGCCGAAGTCGATACTTGCCCATGAGACGTGTAGCGGGGGCTTTAAATTCACTGAAACAAAAATATTGGAAACATACCAAGTTTTTACCATTGTTCTTTCCAGTTTTGAAGTGGTTCGATCCTCTTCTAGTTGGTGGCCCCAGATCCATCGACTATGAGGTCCCAGAATGACTAGGTTTTGAGTTTTGAAGCTGAACTTGATGCCTTCATCACTCAGGAAAAATACCTCACCAACCTCATCGCGTCGTTTACCGATGGAGGTGAGGCCCACCAGGAAAACGGCACAGATGAGTCGCATTGACGTTGCACGGTCAACTCCGTTGCGACGACGAGTGGACGACTGCTGTGTCGTCACAAATTTTCAAAGGTGGGCTAGCGGCTAATTCTGAGTGTCGCTCTGCCAAGTGGTTTTCCAAGTCTTTCATCTTTGTTTGAGACCATGGCCTGCTATGTGCGGATTTTGTTCCTCATTTCATTGAAACACCTATTGCTGCAGCATTTGTTTATTGGTACGACAGGATCAAAGAGTGGAGTGACACTGCAGCAGAAAACGGTGTGTTTCGAGTTTCACTGCTCAAAGTTGTATTCCAGAATTGCATTGGTTTTGAAAACCTAGCCCGCTGCTTGGGGATGTTGTTCCTCACTGGATTCAAAAGCCTACCTTGTATCAGAAAATACACTTGATGCAGATGAGAAATATCTTCTTATAGTAAGATGTGATCAAGTCTGCAATAAAACACATTAAACCCATTAAAACCCAATTGAGAGCTGGTTTGGACTCCAATAATTCTGTTATTTGTCACTCTGCCAAATGGTTTTCCAAGGTTTTCATGTTTTTTGAGACTATGCCATGGCCTGCTATGTGGGGCTCCTCATTTCATTGAAACACCCGACTCGTACCAGCAAACACATGTGTGGCAACCACTTTTTTTTTTCCCGGTTGAAAGCTGAAAGTAAAAAGAACAAACTGTATATATAAAAATATATATATATATAACAAGACTGAACGTGTGAAGATTGTGAAGGACTACGCCAAGACTGGGAACTGAAACCGCGTGTTGTGTGTTCAGCTTTGGCACGACGCTTCTCTTCAGAGTTTGTTGAGAAGTTCACTGCTTGTGAATCTGTGACCGTCACCTTTCTGTTTTTTTTTGGATGTCCTTCACCCAGGCTTTCCAGGAATTGAAGAAAACCTGAAAAGACTTATACTCATGGTACTCATGGGAGAGAAGAACAAGAAAGAAAAACTACTGCACAGACTTCAGACTGAGCATTGTATATTGATGACTAGCGGCAGTCATTGTGACATGACTATACTACAAAGCAACAATCTACAAGCAAAACCATGACAACAAATCTTGAACAAATGCTTTGAAAGAGCATTCAGGACTTTCCTGATGACAGGTACAAAACACCTTTTGACTCTGGTTCCAAGGTTGTGTCATTGATACACTGCAGCATTGGTAGTTTTGGCGTCATGTCTCATTCAGATGGCGTGAAAGGGAGCATTGAGTCGCCACCTCAGAGGTGTTTGTGTTGATGGACGTTCAGATGAAGCGTATTGAAGCGTGTTTTTTTTTTCTTCCCTTCTTCTGTGTATTTTGTTCTTCTTTCTGGTAGTCATTTTTTTTTTTAAATGTTTGATTCTTTCGTTTGTTTCTTTGCCTTTTGTGTTTGATTTATCTGTTGTTTTTTTGTTTGTTTGTTGGCTACTTTACTTGAGACTTGGCGCGGAGTCATGCTGTGGCCACGTGTTGGATTCAGCCTGAAAGTTTTGCAAAATAGAATCGTAGATTCTTAGGATTCAATGTAAGTCCGTAAAGTAAGGAAGTCACATAGTTACTGCACATTTGGGCATTTTTTGGAGAATGCGCTGCCAAGTTCGAAATCATTCGCTTCTGTGGAGATCAGCGATCCTCGTGATGATGAGCGATCTACCAACATTGACGTGATTGCCTTCTACTACCCTGGACATGAAACTGAGCATTTCTTGCAGAGTAGCCTGAGATGGTTATGTGGGGGAAGGCTATAGGTCTGTGCACATCCTAATTTTAATTTTAGGTGTGCAGCCAAACCTTCGAAAATCCAGTGTGAATGCAAATCATTCCAGGAATGGGACATCTACTTTGGAAGCTCCTTCCTTGGAAACTTCTACCATCTTGGCGAGAAAGCACTGGAAGTTGAGCTGGGTGGCAACAAATTGACATTTGAGAATGCTGAAGCATCTTTTCAAGCGCTGAAATTTAAGGACCAGGGCTTGCAGCTTGCAAGTTACCTTTGATCTGTCTGTGGTTTTTTTCGCTGCGTGTTGTCACCAACATATGGACTGACTATGACTGACTTGTCGTATTCTGGTGTCTTGGCTGCTGTTAATTCAAACAAATCCATTTGCTGTATCAGGACAATGCCCATGAATTTGAAAAACTGGATGGAGCTGCGGCTTTCAAATTGAAGCGCAGTTTGGCAGGCCTGGGTCGGTTTTTGGTTCGAAACAAACTGTTGAATTTGCCTTTTAGATGGCAATGACAAGTACATGTATTATGCATGGACAGTTCCTTTGGTGCTGACTGCAAGGACAAGAACTGCTACGGGTTCGCTGAACTGTCTCTTTCAAGCTTTGTGCTGTTTGGCATGCGGAATTTGCTGCGATTTGACCTCGCAGACATTTTCACCCTGTTGCAGGTCGAGAAGATTGGACATACGGCGGCTTCGGCAACAATTGGCTGGGTATGTGGCATGTTCTGCACAAGAAGTTCGAACCAGGTTCTGATCTGGAAACTCGGCCTTGCGAGATTTTGGTGTAGATACTCTTTCATAGGCCCAACTGTCCCTCCAGGCCATCCATTTATCAATTTTGAGACATGTGCCTTTTTTCTCTAATTTTCGCATCAACAAACCTTCCAATCAGCTGGCAAGGCTTTAAAGCTGCTGAAGACGGGTGATGCGTTCCTCTTGGAGCACAATGAAAAGCATGGAAGAGACAAGGTGCGATTGGACTTGAGAACTAGGTTTTTTCATGACTCACAACTTATGTTGGAGCAATCCACACGCGGCTCCTCACAACATCGGGATCGAGAATCTCCTTGGATTTCTGATCTCCACTGACTGTGCGTGGTGCAGGTTTGGTCTGACAATCTGGATGGCTCGGGCCAAAATTGGCTTGGTCTTCAACTCATGCTGATTCGCGATGAATTGCAAGAGAGAAGCGTGGCTTCAGTAAGCTCAGCTAGATCGGATGAGGTAAAGCCAGCTTTTTGGACTTTTTGTTGGATGACCCATCTCCTCTTTGTATATCTACAGAATTCTTAACTCCAACCGGGACCACTCATGAAAGTCGCAACTCGTTCAATGTCTCTGGGTTGAAAACTTCTCGTAGGAGTTGGTCCTGGATCATGGACGGCCTGGCTCCGTGCTCGTTTGAATCTGAAGGATGGAAGTTGTTGCTCTGGAGATGGTAAGTTGCAAGCGGCGGTCCATGATGCAGCGCAGAAGGTTTGCATGTGCTTTCTGGGTCCTGGAAGCTGATCATAAATCATAACTGCTGCTGGAACCAACACCCACCAAATCCAAACACCACGAGCCACTGGATCGCGCAGATTCAAGCGGTGACCATTGGGACGAAAGATTTATCCATTGCAGAAGGTTTTCAACTACGATCCTGCTTCTTGTCCAATCAAGAACAAGCCTCAAACGATGTCGGCTGGTGAATCTTCCTGACCAAATCTTGGACTGCGGAAAAAATCCCCTGCTGAATCTGATTGTGTGGGACAGGAGGCACCGGGTACCAACTGGGTCACTCATTTCTCAGAGCAATCTTACTTGTCGACAGGAAGTGGTTTCAGGGAGCAATGTTCGGGGGTCCGCGAAGGATCTTGTCCATCAACACTCTGATTCACTGGCTGGGACATGCTGGGACTATATACTCTAGGAGTCAGATCATTTGCCAAGACTGCAACCACGTCAGCTGAGTCTTTCAAGTCTGGCTTGCATGGTGAAATTGATATGGCAAGTTCATCAAATCAAGCCAGTCGTTAATAGATCAAGTCGATCAAGTTCCCGTTTTCATAAGGATCTACGTGGATCCCCCAGAGGTCCTCTCCGACTGCAGCTTTCAGCAGCCACGCTGAACAGTTCAACCCTAGCTGCCATGATTTTTGACATCTGTAGTGAACAGTTGTGTCAGATTTTGAAATCAAGGCATTCCTAAGCAATCCACAAGATTGAGGCCCAAATTCTGACCCCAGCAAGTGTCCAATCATGCTGAACATAGCCTTGGTGATGTCACTCTTGATGAGGCTGTGGGCAGTGTAGTTGCAAAGAAATAGCAACGCCTCAAATTTGGGCAGGGTAGGGAAACAACAAAAGAATGACAAAGCAGGGGTCCCCCAAACAAAAATGGCACAGATATCATTTGGACAGATATACATAAGGTAGTTTAGATGACCAGCATTTGTAAAACATGTGTATAAGTTTTTTCCCCAACAGCGTAAGCTAATGGCTTCTTCAGCCCAGAATAGCTCTGGTGTGCACTGGTGCAGGTGCCGGGTCAGGTTCAACGAGGTTCCGGAGAAGGTTCCGAAGGTTCCGGAGAAGGTATGGGAGGCTTTGGTGCACAGCCAGGTCAGGTTCAACAGGGTTCCGAAGAAGGTTCCGGTGAAGGTTCCCGGAGGCTTTGGTGCAGAGCCAGGTCAGGTTCTACAGGGTTCCGGAGAAGGTTGCGGAGAAGGTCTGGGAGGCTTTGGTGCGGAGCCAGGTCAGGTTCAACAGGGTTCCGGAGAAGCTTCCAGAGAAGGTCTGGGAGGCTTTGGTGCAAAGCCAGGTCAGGTTCAACAGGGTTCTGGAGAAGGTTGCGGAGAAGGGGTGGGTGGCTTTGGTGCAGCCAGGTCAGGTTCAACAGGGTTCTGGAGAAGGTTGCGGAGAAGGGGTGGGTGGCTTTGGTGCAGCCAGGTCAGGTTCAACAGGGTTTCGGAGAAGGTCTGGGAGGCTTTGCAAGGCAAGGTCAGGTTCAACAGGGTTCCCGAGAACGTTCCGGAAAGTGTGGGAGGGTTTGGTGCAGAGCCAGGTTGGGTTTAACAGGGATCCGGAGAAGGTTTCGGAGAAGGTTCCGGGAGGCTTTGGTGCAGAGCCAGGTCAGGTTCAACAGGATTTGTGTTCTCGGAAACATAGCGGAGGTGTTGCCAGCGCTTGGCTTGGCAGCACGCTTCCGAAAATTTTTGTAAAGATAAAACGTTGAGGCTGTTGAGGATACCACCGAAGCTTATTTTGGTTCTCATAGCTGCTAAGTAGCTCAGACTACCCCCAATCATCGCGCACGTTCTCTTCGGAAATGAACCCACCTTCTATCGCTAGGTGGTTCTCTAGCACATTAAACCGAACTCTTCCTTCAGGGAATGCCATGCTGAAAAATATGGGTATCCAGCCCAATTTCCAACCATTTTTGAATAATTATACAGTGCATAGGCTTCAGCACTTCCCAACCAGTCCATGTTGAACCCAACTGTCTGGAAGAGTTTCTCTAGCGATTGCCTGCCCTTCTTAGACTTCCACTGTTGCACTATTTCCCTGCTGGGAGTGAACTCGCCTTTGACACTTGAGGTACAAAAACCTCCTGAGTCGGCCCTCCACAGCTTTGTGGAAGTGGCTCGCGGGAGCCTCAGGTTGGAGCCGCATGTCGTTTGTGCCATGAGAATGAGAAGCAATGCGCAAGCCAAGAACGAACACCTTGCTGAAGCCATTTATTGGACAAGGTTGGAGTAAAGACGCGTACAGACCTTGCCTTGTTCCAATCCCGCCAAACCCTTGTGAACATGGCGCGCGATCTCCAAAAACTGGTCTGGGCTTTGATTTTCCTTGGCACTGCTTACGCATCAAGCTGCCCCTGGACGCACAGTTGGGAATGGCAAGGCGTGTTCCACGTGCATGAGGGCGGTATGCTGGTGTGGAGCGCAGAGAAGAATAAAGAAGATTATGCGGATCGGAGTATGAAGATGGTAATTCAGACCACATCGAGCGCAACTGCCTCAGGGTTGGATGCTGCACAGGAGGGAGTGTCCTAAAACTATAGAAAACCTTAAGAGGGACCCCTGCAGTCCACTTACAGCCCTTGCATATCCCGATATGTCCGCACTTCTCCTGAATTATATGTCCCTGTATGTCCCGATATCTCTGCTTATCTCCTTATAGAAGCCCGATAAATGGATGGATGGATGGATGGACGGATGGACGGATGGATGGATGGATGAATAAATCAATCGATCGATAGATAGATACACACATAGGGATATATCCCAAAGGGTACCCCCTGAGACATCCAAAGGATAAACACACACACACACAGTCACACACACACACACTTGCTCAGAACTGTCATTGCGAATTCTGTTGTGGAGTGCATCTGACGTGCAAAAACAATCCAGTTACACCTGCCAGGAACAGGAGGGTGTTTGGTGTGGAGTGAAAGGAAAATTCTTTCGTCGCCACCTTGAAGAATGGAATAAAATCAATAGAAGCCAGGAAGAACTCCGAAATATAAGCAGAAACTTGGAGTGGACAAGAGATTCACCGCAGTCTCAGATTGCGACTGTGCAGAAAGATCAGTGAGAAGTCACCTTCATCCATTCATGTGCTGAATTCAAAAATCCTGATGTGATTGTCGTTGAAAAACAGCATGGTGGTTCTTGGGTTGGCCACACCCCATCACGATTCAACAATTGCAGATACGTTTGCACAGCAACTTGGATGGGTCTTCGTTGGCCCATGCCATCCAAGTGCCCATGGGCCCCCTGCGAAACTTAGAAGTTTTACTCTCTTCAGATGGTTCACACACACGCCCCGCAGCAGCGGGGCTTTTGAAGGCTCCGACAAACGAGATGAAGGTGAAGATGAAAGGTAAATGGAAATGAGATGACGACGGAAATGAGATGACAGCTACTTAACCGGGACACGAGACAGGGAACGCAAAACAGGAGAGGAAAAAGAGAAAACACCAACACGAACACACCTAGCCCAGAGCGGGCAAACCCTGAAAGGGCAAGGGAAAAGAAAAAGCGGACGGACGACGGGCCAAACACCGACCAGAAGACCAGAAGAGGGGGGAGGGACAGAAGCGCCTGACACAACCTACAAGGCGAGAGCCAAAACCTACCTCGGCACGCGAAGGACCCAAACCTGACCTCGAGAGGGAGCACGCATGAGACCAATGGGGAACTAGTTGATGAAAATTGATGCATCCACAAACGCATGCAAAATTGCGTGATAAGGCTCAAGGCCCTCGAAGTTCAAGTCACAACCCTCTGGACGGCTTAAGTGGTCAACCCTCGAATTAATGCACAACTGAACCTCACCAGCGACCATAAAATGAAAGAATCACCATACCTGCAAGCATGTCCTGTTCCTGTCGTCACATGTTGCATGACCAAAATGACATGAGTCTGTCTCTCGAGCATTGCTGAAAAAAGGAAAAGGTTGTCGCGGCTTGCAGCTATGCATATCAGCACAAAGGAAAGAGGTGAGTCCCCAAACAGCGGGCAACTGTTCAACACGGCGACAATCGACAAGGTGAGAAGCGAAAGATGGCCGGCTGTTTCACCTTTTTTAGACGAACTACTAGATTAAAAGTGTAAATTCAGAGATCAAGTCGAAGGATCAAAGTTCCCACCTAGAAAAGTATTCCCCGAAGGGTTCATGCCACCTTGACGAATCCAGCATGAGTCACACACTTGCTCAGAACTGTCATTGCGAATTCTGTTGTGGAGTGCATCTGACGTGCAAAAACAATCCAGTTACACCTGACAGGAACAGGAGGGTGTTTGGTGTGGAGTGACAGGAAAATTCTTTCGTCGCCACCTTGAAGAATGGAATAAAATCAATAGAAGCCAGGAAGAACTCCGAAATATAAGCAGAAACTTGGAGTGGACAAGAGATTCACCGCAGTCTCAGATTGCCCCAACTGTGCAGAAGGACAAGTGAGAAGTCACCTTCATCCGTTCATGTGCTGAATTCAAAAATCCTGATGTGATTGTCGTTGAAAAACAGCATGGTGGTTCTTGGGTTGGCCACACCCCATCACGATTCAAACATTGCAGATACGTTTGCACAGCAACTTGGATGGGTCTTCTTTGGCCCATGCCATCCAAGTGCCCATGGGCCCCCTGCGAAACTTAGAGGTTTTACATCTCTTCAGATGGTTCACACACACACATATTCCCTATATATCCCCTGTATATCCCTATGGGGGCACCCCTTTTTCGAGACACAGGAGGCTGCTCAGAGCGCGTGGAATGGCCCTTTCCAGACAGCGCAGCCGGGTGAAGTGTTACACCTCAACAATGCGTACAACCTCATCTTTGATGCAAGTGCCGGGCACCACTGCGTGATCTGGGAAGTGGGCCCCTGGAATTAGGGGGACCCTCTATGACCCTGTTAGTATACGGTCCCTTTTTGAAAGCAAAAAGGGGGACACGGGCGAAGGAGGGGTTCCCTTTCAGTTAACTCCGCAAGACCTTTCAAGGACTAGACTACTAAGCACTACAAAGGAGTGCGTTTTGGGGGGACCCGGTTTAGGAACCCTCAATAAGGTTCCGTAAGCATCCATAAACCAGGCTTGTCATGGCTTGTCCATATACAGGGCCTGTTTATTATAGGCGCAGGGCGCAGGGGTTATCGATTGTTGGGGAGGGGAGAATTACGATAACATTATGGTGGTATTAGGACAGTATTATGAGATAGCATTGGTATAGTAATGGTATAGTATTGTCACAACACGGGCGACTTGTGTCCCACAAGGAATGCAAGTTTTGTTACCAACATATTAATATCCGCAGCAATGCTTGAGGTGCCTGGGTGATTTTGTTCAAAATCCAGAGCACTCCCGAAACAAACATCGCAATCTTTGCTGAGCATCTGCCGACCGAGTTCGAAAATCGTTTTCACTACTTCATTGCTGCGGACAATGAGGAGATTGAACCAGCCTATGAGGTATCTGGGTCCACTTGACGGAAAGATTTACATATAGGACTTGTAGTAGGACTATAAGTTGGATGTTATTACCCAACAACGGCCCAGGTAAGTGAATCTGACTGCAACAGTGTCACCGCGCCTGGTAGCATGGACCGCTCGGGCGAGGTGATACTTGCAGGCATCCTTGTCATGTTGCCTACCTTGCTTGGCATCCTCTTCGTCGTGAACTCATGCCCTGGTGCAATGGAGAAGATGCAGAGATTCATGCCCTTCATGAATGCCGCCGCCAGCGGCGTGCTGGTGGCAGTTGCTGTCTTCCTGATCTTGCCGGAGGCGCATCACCTTCTGGCCAGTAAAGGCGAGGCAGCCTCCGCAGCCCTCTGGGGCAGCAGCATCATTGGCGGCTGGCTGATGGGTGTGCTGAGTGTCATGTCCTCCGCCATGATCCGTCGCTTGTGTTCCAAGACGGCTGCAGAGTCTCAAAATGCCATGGATCTGGAAACAGAATCAGAAAGCTCGGACCAGAGCAAGTCTGTCAATAAACCCTCAGAGAAGATCATGGCCAAAAAGTGGCTCATTGCCCTGCCTGTGGAACTTGGAGATTGGTTCCACAACTTCGCGGATGGACTGGTCATTGGCATAGCATTCCGTTATTGTGACCCCAGTTTTGCATGGAAGATAGTGGGGATATCGGTCGCACATGAGCTTCCACAAGAACTGGCCGACCTCCACGTGCTGATCAACAAGGCCGGTTTGCACTGGACCACCGCCACCCTGTTCAATGTGTTCAGCGGTTCGGCCGTGATCATTGGAGCCTGTCTCACCTACTTCGTGGACATCGGCCAGGAGGCTCAGGGCGAACTTCTGGCCTTAGGTGCCGGAGTGTTCCTCTTCGTGGGGATGACGCAGTTGGGCACTGGCATGACAGACGTGGAGACAGAGACCAAGAAGCCATGCCGCGACATGCTGGGTACGCTTCTTTGCTTCATCCTCGGCGCTGTATGCATCGGTTTGATCTTGATAGACCACCGACACTGCGCCGTGCCACTTGCGGAAGGCGAAGTTGATCCGCATGCCGGCCATGGGCATTAATGGTGGCACCATGGGATACCACGTTGCAAGAAGCCTCCATGTATGTCATTCGTTCAACTGGCGGATTGAGGGGTGTTTTTGTGGCAGTGGCTTGCAGCTGCCAGTACAGCGTGCTCCTGTACAGTGACAATTTTAAGAATGAGCGACGGACAATATTGCCCTTTCCTTAAGTTTGACAGAAGGCTCCCTGCATCTCACTCTTCCGTGTGCCAGCACGTTTTCTGACCATGCGAATGGCCGTACAACCATAGTGACCATAATGTTGACCGATGCTCATTTTAAATTTTAAGTTGCCCTAGGGTTCCGTGTGCTTTAACATACGTTAGCTATGTATATATACATGCACACAATGCGCACACAGATATATATATATATATAAGTTATATTAATGGCATTCAGGTCTGATTTAGTAGCATTCAGGTCCTGGATAATGCCACTAATGCTCCACTACCATGATGACTGAGATTGACTTGTGCTACCTTGTGGCACAACACTTGCAATCTTGTGCATTCTTCCAGTGCATTCTTTCAATGCATACTTCCAGCAGTGTGGCCAGATGATGCTTGAAACATCTGACTTTGGTTTGATCTTAAGCAAACTGTGGCCTAGGAAGTTGCATTTTGCAATGTTTTTTTTACATTGCCCATGGCCAGGGATTTGGTACATACACAATATATATATATATATACATGTTATACATATATAAATAGCAGTGGAACAGGTCCCATTGCCACCATCACTAGCTGCGCCAGCTTCCACCTTCCCAAAGTTAAAGATAGTAGAACCCCCGTTTGGCTTAAGACTGCTTTTGCCGTTTTGGTGCAGGAGGGGGGGGTATTGGTGCACGGCTGGTGCGCGGAAAAGGAAAATAGGGGCAAGGGTGGGTCAGGGGAAAATAGGTGCGGGAGTGGGTTCTTGCCAATCCATGGATCCAGTCGGGATCTAGTCGGGATCCAGTCGGGATCCAGTCGGGATCCAGTCGGGGTCCAGTCGGGATCCAGTCGCGCACCAATGTCGGGAGGCAAATTCATAGAAAACAGCATTCTTGCAGGGTTTTGGTGATTTTAGCTACTTCCCGACAGGTCCAAACGTGGTGCCAAAAACTCGACAAGTGGTGCCCGACTGGATCCCGACTGGATCCTGACTGGATCCCGACAGGCTCCCGACTGGATCCCGACTGGTCAAAAGTGGTACCAAAAAATGCACAATTGGTGCCCGACTACGTCCCGACTGGATCCCGACTGGTTTTCTTCAAAAAAACACATATTTCCCACAATTTGAGCACCTATTTCTGAAATTTTAGCACCTTGCCGTGCACCACCCCCCCTCCCGACCCCCCGCCACCAGTCTTAAGCTATATATATCTCTCTCTCTCTCTATTATCGAAGGAAGTTTAGAAGTCAAACTTCCGACAGTATGGACAGATGAAAAGCAGAGATGGGAAGAGTCAGAGAGAAGAGAAAAGTAGAAGAGAGAGGATGAGAGAAGAGAGAGAGGCAGAAGAAAGAAGATGCAGATGTGCGAAAAGGTAGGAAAGTCGCGAAACATTGTGTTTTTCCAATGATTTGTGGCTCCGGAGGGTCGAAAAGTAGGCTCGATAAAGCGGCGGGTGCGGAGCCAGCTGGCCAGATGAGCGATGAAAAAGTGCACGCCGTTGTGGCGCGAAGCACATTTGCAAGTGAAAAAGCTCAAAAGCACCTCACGTTCGGACCACTTTTGGAAGTTGCCATGTCGAAAAAGTGCAGGCCGTTGTGACACAAAGCACATTTCGAAGTCAAAATGTACAAAACACACCATGCTCGGACCACTTTTGGAAGTTGAGATGCCGAAAAAGTGCAGGCCGTTGTGGCGCGAAGCACATTTCGAAGTCAAAATGTACAAAACACACCATGCTCGGACCACTTTTGGAAGTTGAGATGTCGAAAAAGTGCAGGCCGTTGTGGCGTGAAGCACATGTCGAAGTCAAAATGTACAAAGCACACCAGGTCTGGACCACTTTTGGAAGTTGAGATGTCGAAAAAGTGCACGCCGTAGTGGCGCGAAGCACATTTCGAAGCCAAAATGTACAAAGCACACCAGGTCCGGACCACGTTTGGACTTTCAGATGTCGTTTTGCGTGGCAGGCGCAAGGGAATATGCACCTTCTCAAAAGTGAGCAAAACGTGAAGGTTTTGAAACACACCACTACACTCCACCACACTACACTCAATTGCACTACACTACAGTACACTACAGCTACACTACACTACAACTGCAACTGCAACTACACTACATTACATTACACTACACTAAGGACATTTCACTACACTACATTACACTACATCACACCAACTACAACTACAACTACATAAAACTACACTACACTACACTACACTACACTAATTACATTACACTATACTGCACTACACTATACTGCACTACACTACGCTACACTACACTGCACTGCACTGCACTGCACTACACTACACTACACTACACCCCACTCCACTACATTACACCTCACCACACTATACTCCACTACACTATACTACACTCAATTACACTACACTACACTACACCACGCGACACTACACTACACTACACTACGCTACACTACACTACATTAACTACACCTACAACTGCAACGGCAACTGCAACTGCAACTGCAACTACAACTACAACTACAGTACATTACATAACGCTACAGCTACAACTACAACAACAACTACAACTACAACTGCAACTACACCACACTACATTACACTACACTACATTGCACTACACTACACTAATTGCATTACACTACACTACACCACACTACACCACACTACACCACACTACACCACACTACACCACCCCACACCCCACACCACACTACACTCAGTTACACTACACTACACTGCATTGCACTGCACTGCACTGCACTCCACTACACTACACTCCACTACACTACACTACACTACGCTACACTACACTACACTACACTACACCACACCACACGACACGACACGACACGACACGACACTACACTACACTACACTACACTACACCACTACACTACACTACACTACGCTACACTACACTAGCCCACCCCACATTGCATTACATTGCATTGCATAACATAGCATAACATTACATTACATTACACTCATTACACCACCACAAATGCAACTGCAACTACACTACACTAATTGCATTACACCACAACTACAACTCAGCTACACTACAACTACAACTACAGCTGCACTACACCACACTACATCCAGCAGTTGTGGGTGAGGTGACCGACCAGGTGACCACTGCAACCATTGCAGCCCTCCAAAAAAACACAGCTCCAACCACCTTTGGGTCCATCAGTGGATTCGCTCTGCCATCCGTGATTCACAACAACCAATCTCTCCTATAGGCTTTCTATTTTTGAAACTTCCGCCACCGCCTTGTGCGGTACTACTGGTGTATATATATATACACACACACATACCGTATACATGTTCATCATTTTTTACAGCTATACGTACGTATGTTTGTTTATGGGATACTTAGACCCCAGAGCTGCTACATCGGCACTTTAGGGCTCACGCAGCCCCTACATAAGTACATGGACCCTTGCGGTTCTTTGTTTCAGTCAGAAGTTGCAGTTGTGGAAGGAACTCATCGGGCTTGCACAACGCTCCGCACAAGGAGGTGGCACTGTCGCTTCTGATTTTGAATGTGTGCGCCTACACACGAGTCCCTGATGTACTCCGAACAACAATGAAAGGATTACTATATCATATGATAATAACATCCATGTATACCTTGATGCACCCTCAAACATAACAGAACGTAGCCCAGTAGAACCTCAGACTGGACTTTAATGTATGGCGGACCAGCCAAGCGAAAAGCAGGCCGACACGCTTAGGGCGAAGTTCCCAAATTTAGACTTTGGTAGAAGGTTACTTTCCTTAATTTGGGAAGTTTTAGCATGTACATGTATATAGCCTATATATAGCGATTTGAAGTATGGGTTCTGAAACAGGGAATGTACCTATATGTTCCCTAATGTGTGTGTATATATATATAGTATATATATATATAAGGACTTCCCAATTAAGGGAGGGGCCCACGCCTCTAGCTTTAGATTTGGCAGTCGGCACCGTTCCATGAAAAGCAACGCTTGGCTCGGCGTGTTTCAGAAGTGCACTCAGGCTGCTGACCTGGGTATGTGCCTGAATTCACATTCTTCTTCTGGGGAAAGTAACGCTATACTGTAGTTTTCCTCAAAGGGTCCATATTTATTCATGGGATACTTAGGCCCCAAAGTTTGTATATCGGAACCACTTGAATTGCGGGCCCGTACATCCCAAGCCAGTCCCTCGTACTGTAGAACTTCAAGCGACTTTTCCATCCAGCACCTGAGGTTGAAACCCTGCACCGCTGAGCGGATCGCTCAGCAATTGACAAATAGATACAAATAGTGCAAAAGTTTAAAAACATGTGGGGGCGCACTTGCGGATTTCGCTCGGTTCCAAGAATCTTTGGAGCCAAAATTGGCGAAGGGTGGCTGCGAAGCATGATATGTCAAACCCAATGATCGCTCGAAGGCGAAAAAGAATGCATCATCGCCAAATTGTAGGATTTGTTTGGAAGAGCTAACATTTCACCTACATTGGAAGACCCAGGACTGAGGTAAATGTGTGATATAACTCTGGCTCCAGCTGCGCAGAAGGCCTTAGACATGCACACCAAAACGGGCAGTGCCGCCATGGCAGAGCGAGGAATTCAGGTCCGAGCCACGGCCATGTCCGGGCACCAGGTGGATTTGTTACTTGGTGCTGAGGAACCCATAGCGCTGCTGCGGCAGAAGGTGAGTGAAGCACTGGGCATTCGAAAGTGGCAGTTGCGGCTGATCCATGGTGCCATGGTGCTGAACGATGGAGGTCTCATCAAAGAGCTGGTTGCAGAGACCGAGACCAATGAGACGGTAGAAGTAATGGCGCTGGCGGTTGAAGCCATTGAAGTGAAAGAGCGCAGCAAGGAGTTGTTTTCGATTTTCAAGAGGAGAATCAGGACTCAACATTTTCACATTGACGCAATCAACCGAATCAACCGTCATGAAGAAGCAATTCTGAATGGAGAGGTGGCCTTTGACTATCTTGGCGACAACATGTTGGAATTGTTGCTCAACAATTGGTCTTCAGGTGCCATTGAAAGGCCCATGAGTCTGCTGCTTGCAGGTGGTGCTTGCGTCAATACCCCCTCCAATGATGGCTACACTCCCCTGCTCACTGCCTGTAGCCGTGGTTTGGGCGAAGAGGCAAATCTCCTGCTGGAGCACGGAGCAAGTCCACGACAGCACTTGCCCAACGGGAATGATGCTCTCATCTCGGCCTTAAAATTCTTCCAGGCTTGCTCCGAAGTGAATGCTCGTTCGCGTCAGGAAGACTTACATCTTGGCTGGACCTGTTGCATCTTGCGAGCTGCCCACATCCGAAGTGCTACGGGCCTTCTTCCCTTGGAAGAAGCACGACTGAAGTTGTCGCAGGCAGGGGAAAGGTTGGCATGAGATCCTAGGTGGTTGAAATTCTGACTCTCAAATGATGTCTTGTAGTTTCGGTCGAAGGCTTCTCTATTCAAGTGACTTTCATTCGGCTTCCTCTTGTTTTCCCAGTCTTTCAGTTTTTTCTTTGTGGAGTCGTCTGTTTATTGAAGTGAACATTTGCCTCAGTCTGGCAGGCGGCCATCGAGCTGGCATTGTTGGCACCTGCAGCTGTGTCTCTGTGTCAGAAGAGGATCTTGGAGAAGTCTGCTGTGGATCCAGCCGTGGCCGAAGCTTTTGGAGAGGATCTTTGGGCAGGTTGGCCGCAAGCCTTCTTCACGTTCTCCCTGCAGATTCCAAAGGTCGTTCATGACTGGGACAAGGACTTTTCGGTAGCAAGACAACGAATTCTTGCCTACAAACTTGGGAACTGTGAAAAGGTGCCAGTGGACAATCAAAGACGGGCCTTCAGACCACGATACTTTGATGAGTATAGCGTCTACTCAGATGTCTGCACCTGTCCATTTTGCTGTCCATCCCTCTACAATTCGCTTGAGACAGATTCCTTTGTGACCTCCTACCAGCTGCGCAAAGACCAAAACAGGAAATGGGAGACTTCCAAAGCTAATGCCCGACGCACCAGACGGGCACCATTCGCGTCCTCTTCCGGCCGTGTGTCTCGATCTTCAAGGATGGCTCGCAAATTGCCGCCATCATACCGTGGCTTTCAGGTGGGCAATGTACTTCAAGGACAACAAAAATCACATTCCAAGCAATCCAAGCTCCAAGTCTTGAAGCATGAGCTGGCATTTGATTGTTATGGCCTTGATATGCCTTGATACAATGTGCAGCCATACTGTAGGTGAGCTGATGGGTGCTGTCACCACATCCATGGCTTGGTGGACTTGTACAGATGCACTGTGAGTTTGCTGCTGAAATGTACAGTGATACAGTGATTGCTACAGTTGAGAGAGCAGTAGAACGTGACCTTAGAGATTAAAAAACATGGCAGCGCGGCCTGTGATGCCAGGATGGTAGCAGGATGGGACACAGCTGAGAAAAAACCTAAAAGTTTCATGCCGAAACCCTTACTTGAGAGGTCTTGCGAACTACATATAGCGATATAGCGACAAAAACATGTAAAGCGATAATTTTGCATCGAGACCCGCGTTTGTGACCTTAGTTTTGGTCTTTCCTCAGCTTGGCTCAGCAATTTCAGAGTTGACACGTTGCCAAACTGTAGATGGCTTATGGCAGTGAAGCCTGTTGTCGTTTCCTTCTTGTGGAGGCAACAAGTACATGGACAATGCTGAGATCCACCCCAACAATAGGCAAAACTTCAGTTAACCAACATCGAGGACCCAAACAAATACAGCCAAGTCTCAAGCAACTCCTTCAAGACAGGTTCTCAGCAATAGCGACTTTCATGGCAAATCAGGACAAGAATCACTTTGTCTCTGGATTTTCTGCCCAATGGCCGATGCAGATGAGTCCTCTTCTAGCGAGGAGAAGGCTAGAGTCGGCTAGAGGTTGATTTCCGAATTCAAAGTATTAAAGAGGTGCTAAAGAAATTTATGATAATATTCATATATATATATATATATTCATGATAATTATCATCACAATAATTATCACTACTGTTAAAGAGACATGCAGAAAATTTGGAGCTGTGCGGATCTTGGGACCACTTGGCCAAGCTTCAGGAAGGCTTTGATGATGAGTCAGCGTTGCGCAAGGCGCTCTCCACAGTGGCTTTAGAAATAATACCTGTATGATGTTCCAAATCCTTCCCGTGATATCTGTGATAGAAGATTGATAGAACATATTTGCACTATTTTGCACTGAACCCCTTAACCTGTGATATAGATATCTCGCAGCCGATGGCATCGATGGCAAAGGTCCTATTTGACCTCAGCGCGAACAAGACAGATGAGGGTGCAGCCCTTGGAGAATCACCATGGCCACCATGGTGTATGTCTTGGACGGCCCTTTTGCGATCCGCCGATTTGATGGTTTTCCCGTGTTATTTCCAATAGATCCAATTTCGCATTTGAGGCATCCAATGACTGGGACCATTCTGATCCATTCTGATCCATTCTGAGGTGAAACCAGCTCCCCCATGAAACGGCGTCGAAGCCGACATGCCTCATTGTCAGGTGGGCGATGCAGGACCTTGGATCATACGTCCAGGTGTCTCACATCGATTTTCCGGTGATCAACGGGATAATCTCCCTCCAGGTGGCGAAGGCACTGTGTGTGTCCCAATGATTGCTGGCCTGACCGAGCAGCAGGCGCGCAAGGATCCTGGACCTAAAAAAAACTCCCCAAACTGGGCTTTTCCACTGGGAAGGTGCTTGGATGTTTCGGATGTTTCGGATGTTTCGGGTATTTTTGGTGGCGACGCATTTGCATCCCGGTCTGGGAGACCTAATCTTGTTCCATGCCCACTTCCTCATGTCTTTCGGAGTGATGTTTCCCTGCCAGGTTCAAGGTCTGCGGGAAGTCTTTAGCCTCTTTGATCCAGAAGGGCGTGTTACTCAATTGATCTGAGTCTACTTCCAATAATTCCTGTGGAAATGCTCGGAGTGCTTCAGCTGATACTGCAGAGATTAGGTCAGGGAGAGTACGACCTGAAGAAATTCGATCAGCAGCTACCAGTTCTGGTTTGGAGAAAGAGTTTCCAGAGGCAAAGCCAGTCATCCACCGCGACATGTTTTTCATCAGTTGAAATGTAATGCCATGGTCAAGAGCAAATTATGACGATTCTGATTTCTGGACACCGGTGTTCTTTTTGTTGCTAGTTTGATGGGCTCTAGGTCTCAGATGGCTTGGTGCAAACATAGACACCACGTATTATACATGTCTTTCTTCTTCTTCTTCTTCTTCTCCTTCTTCCTTTTCTTCATGTCATTTTTTTACTGAAGCATATGACACTTTTGATTCATCCAAGCCATGGCCGGCAGATGTTGGCCCAACGATGTTGGCATAGGATTCATTTGTGATAACATGCCCATCATGAAGCTCTCTCTATAGATCTCTATGGTGTGATTCGTTGGCAGGTTTGGCAGTTCATGACAGCGTTGGACGGCCACGACAGTGTGGACTTTCAGGAGATCCAGCTTGGTGAGTCAGGGTTCAGCTGCGCTGTGCGATACCAGGGAAAAATGGGGATTCTTGAGATCCATTGATGGGAATCCGATCCGATTTACCGACCAAATCATGGATCTTTTACTGACATCTGTCATCATCTGTCTATCCTGAGCTTCCGAGTTTTGCCAACTCTAGTGAAGGTTTGGATCTTATCTCATCCGCTGGCAGCCTCTTGGCCCAAGAGCCCTGCGCAGAAAATCAGGAGACATTTGGACACGGACATTGGTAGACAAGCGAAACATCCCAAGTTCAGGACAGTTCAGGCATCCAACCGAGTTTGCTTCATTTTGGTTCTCCAAAAAGGGTGTTCGGTTACAGCCAAATATCAAGCCAAAGAAGTTGTCCCATGGCATCCTCCAGCGATCGGCCTGGACTGCCCGTGGTGCTGGGGTGGGGACCTTGGACACCGATTCAAAGCTTTCTGTGCGGATGCGGATGATGCGGATGATGCGGATGTGAGGCGCACCAATCCACCAACCAACTCCGTGAAGTCCAACAAGTCCATCAAGTCCCAGGGCCCTGAAAAGTTCAATTCAGAGCGGTCGGTGGAGGCGAGTCGGCTATGGACAAAGGATGACAACGGGAGAGGTGTCATTCTTCAGCGTTCGAAAGCAACTTTGATTAAGTTGGAGCAAATTGGAGACTTGTGAACAGCACTTTGTAATTTTTTCCCAGGAGTTCAACAGCTTTGTATCCACCATGACATGGTGGATGTGAGTTTTTTGACATTCCTGACTTGTTGCTGTATACCAGGCTGAGCAGCTCCTTGGCGGCACCTCAGCGTCTCTCAACATATCCCCATTTATGGCCATTTCCATGGGAAACATTGGGAAACATGAAGCAACTTTCAGACAAACCCCTAAACGAATGTTCGGCACGCAGCATGGCCATCCAGGACAGAGCTCCAAGATAGTGAAGCAACATGCGGACAAGTGTCTTGATTAAAATTTCAGAGCAATGCTTGGCATCTTGACAGTTTAGAAGCATATTTCTGTGTTTACCCCCAAAGTTATGACCATTTTAATGGGAAAACCATTTTTGAGACAAACTCATGTACTTTGTCAAGGTCTGTACAAAATTGTTTCTATCTTTCATCATGCTCCTCCGGCTCTGCTTTTTCATCCCACGTGCCCCCTCGCAGCGCAGCTGGATGTCCCAGGTCTTTATTGCAATGAATATAACTCGCGGAATGCCATGGTTCAGAAGGGAGAAGGATCCAGGTTGTGCGCAGTTTGGGTCACAGTTTCTCAACGATTCGTGAGTCTCTCAAGTCAATTTGTTTCGAAGACCCAGCAGGCTGGTTTGTGGTGGGCAATCGCAGAGTTGTGGAGAGACTGAATCGAGATTGGCTGGAAGCTTGGCGACAAAGTACCTAAAGATAGTCAGCATACTGTACTTCCGCGAAAATGCTGATGATCGCAGTCGAATACACTTGCTGGCGTCTTTGATATCTTTCTTAAAGGTGTCGAACAGGCTAGGTACCGGTGCCTCGCTGAGGCTCCCAAAAGATGGTTGCACCATGTTGCACCCTGCATCTAAAATTCGGGTCCAAGCACAGTACCAGAAGTGCATCACCTACTGTTTTGCAATCAGCCTCTGCGGTTGATTCACACTTGTTCTCCTGTCTCGGATGAAATTCCATCAAGATTAATATGATTAATAAAACGATGGGCATCTTCAAGCGATCCTCCAAGATTACAAGTATGACATGCCGTCCCCAAAAACTCAGCCATCCAATGGGCCATCCAAGGAGAAAAAACATCTCCAGCAGCTGTGTGAGGTGCCGCACGTGACCAGCAATGACTGAAAATTGGGTATGCGGTATGCCCCATTATGCCCCCAGGTCATGGCTATTTTAAAATGGACGATGGGAAAATGATGATCAACTGATCAGTTTTTCAGACAAATGGAACATATACTGTAGATGAAACCAGCAACAGCTGGAGCAGCCTGGTGCTCAAGGACATCACACGCCTGGGCAAACACCATCAGCTCTTTGAACCGGAACCTTACGTTCTGTGCAAAACGGAGCCTTCCCCGGCAATGAGAAGGGCGGATGATCAATGGAAATACAGTTGTTTCAGATAGACAAAGGACTAAGAAAGGACATGTTCTTTCCCGACCGAAGAAATCCCAGTAGTGAAGTGCTGTAGGCTGTAGATTATCTTTCAGAAACTCTGTCTACTTCGTTGCCTTGATGTTTCCTCAGGAAAAGTATTGTGGTTTCTGCTCTTGAGCTGCACTAGATGCTTTTTTGACTATATATACAATTTGCGCAGTGACGCTTTTGGTGCTGTTCCTGGTCAAGTCTGGACAAAAGCAGTGTGACCACAGCGATCTGGATCCAACGGCACAACTTAGCTGCTTGCCTTGGAGGTTTATTTTTGGTCACCGCAGTGTTGATCATCATCACAGTTGCTTGGGGCGCCTTACACAAGCACCAATCCGTCCACGCCTTAGTTGCTGCAATCAATGGCCGCTGAAATTGCGAACCCTCACATCCAAGTGATTTTACAGAATCTTTAGACCAGATCTTCAACCTCCTTTTTTGGCATTTCTTGGGATTTCTAGAATTCCCCAAAAATTCCCCGCTTGATCATCATTCTCCCCATGAACTATTAACTATTATGTCAATCTCTTGGGCCTATCCTTTTTGGGCAAACCCTCGAATATCCCATTGTATTCCCATTACATTCCTATTATTGCCATTATATATCCATTTTAGTCCCATTGTATCCCAGTATCATGGCTGGTCCAAAAGCCAAGAAAGGCCACCCCATAGATCTAAAAATGAATCAATAATAGAGATGTTGTGGGTAATTATACAAATAGATATACATATATGTTTATGATATATGTATAATATATATATATATTATATTATTATATGTGATAGACACGTATGTGTGTATATACATATGTATATATATATACACACAATAATTCGCATGTATATATAGGCTCGTCCCCGCTTCTGGAACCACGGAACCACATGGGGTGGGGTGGGGGTGGGGTGGGGTGGGATGTTAACGTTCATGTGACCTTGCGGCAGGATGTTAACGTTCATGTGAACTTGCGGCAGCAGTGGATGCTACGCACATGCGGGGTGGGGGGGGGGGGGTGGGATGTTAACGTTCATGTGACCTTGCGGCAGGATGTTAACGTTCATGAACCGCGCAAACCTGAATTAGGTTGGTAAAACTTGTCCATTCCGTGACGAAATTTCGTCGCGGAATTAACAAGTTTCATTAGGGTCATTATCATCATCATCATCATTATCATGATGATGATGATGAAGATGATGATGATGATGATGATAATGACCCTAATGAAACTTGTTAATTCCGCGACGAAATTTCGTCACGGAATGGACAAGTTTTACCAACCTAATTCAGGTTTGCGCGGTTCCAGAAGCGGGGATGAGGCTATATATGCATATATCATATATATATGTATACACACACACACGAAACCTTTCTATACACATTAAGTGCATATTTATATACACCTGCAGCTCAACACACACGCCCTGGACAGAATGGTCTGATGGTGGCTTGCGGCGTGCTGCTGGCCATCACCACGATGTGCTGCTGCTGCATGAACGTCCGCAGGCTGGTTCAGACCCACTTGACGGGGAGGTTGGGGGGTAGTTAATACGGATTAAGGATAACAGTTATAGTGGTACTAATGACAATACTGATCGTATTTATAGTGATGACAATCATAGTAATAAGAAGAGATAATGCTCACAATGATGATAATGAGAAGGGTTTCGTGTAGCAGCGCCTAGCAGTGGCCTTCCCCAAGCCACGGGACACTCCTAAAGGAACGATTTCAGTGGGTCCATTCCAAATCGGAGACCTAGAAGATACCATTCGATGGTCCATTTTCATGTCCAATGGCCGAGCACCATTCACGATGCGATGGCTCATACTGGAGGGTTTTACAGAAAAAGACCTTTTTCATTCGGTGGATCCAAGAATTTCGCACGCAGGCGACGCATGATGGATTGGGAGGTGCGATTAAAATCCAGCGCAATTACAATTCTCTTTGAGTCAGTCTGTGGCAGTGACGTGAGGTTGGCTTGCAGGACTGCTAATGCGAGCTCATCAGTTTAGAATAATGTAGGTGTTCTGATCCTTCTGATCAAATTTGTTATTGGACGGAGAGGGATTAGCAATTGGAGATGACGCAGCCAGCACTGTCTTGTGGCGGTGTTTTTTGTCCGGTTGGGACAGATTTGGCACAGAATCAGTTCGGTTTCCTGGAGGTGCCAATTACTGAAATTAAGAGGTTTGCAACCATATGGAGCAAGAAGCATCTCGTACGCAATCAGGGGTTGCACAATGCACCTGGACGATTTTACTGCAATTCCTTGAGAAAGGGGAAGTACCTTTTGTGTACTGCCACTTGCCAAACATGGACACGATTCACAGCTTTTCAGTTGCTTCCGTTTGGTGGATCCATGTGGATCCATTAATGCCATGCTTTGATTTTAGGTATGGATTTCACTTGACCTTCGAGCTGCATTACGATGGCCCAAGCTATTTCATTTTGAAGCCCAAACAACAGGCGGGATGGCATGTGGCCCAGGGGTCTAGCCCCGGTCTCCCTTGCTAAAGCATATAAAACCAAAGGGCCTGCGTCAACGGTCTGGCATCCTGAAGTTGGGGATGGTCAACCTGTGCCTTGAGGCATCAACGAAGAGTGGCAAGGATGAGGAGCAGATGAATCAAATGGTTTAGAGGTCCGGTTCTAAGCAGAGTCTTACGAACCGACCTGGCCAGATCCAGAAAGTTGGACAACTACTTTGTTTCTGTTGTGTTTTAAGGTCCATAGAATTTAGGCAAGTTTGAGATTTTCAAAGGAAGAACACTCCTTGCCAGAGGTCTCACCTCCGTGTACAGAAAGCGCACAGAAATTGCTGTGCAGCAGCTTAGCACCTACAATTTAAGGTCTCGCTGTAAAGAAAAGGTCTAAGTCGTTTCATGTGGTTTCACGGGACCAATACTAATACTGCTCAGCAACTGACTCCAGGACTTTGTTGCCTTACTCACAGAACCACTGGGTGACCACTACAGCAAGGCTGGAACGCCTGGTCCTCACAATCTTTCTTGATATGTGGTTGGAGCCAAGTTTGTGCATGTCTTTCAGAACAGTGTTATCATTCCAGTTCTATCCGGGGCACCAAGGTCTCGACTCATGAACCTCTTCGGACCTGATGCTGTGAACGCAGGTGCTGATGCCAGAAGAACCTTTGTGGGTCACCCAGGAGGAACCAAACCCACCATAATCTACCACTACTTGCAGGCAATTGAAGAAACTACACGGGTCACAAAAGTTCCAACCAGTCGGGCTTCCAAACATTGTGGAACCACTGTGCCGGGAGAGATTTTTTTCTCGCTTGGCCGGATATGGACAGGGAAAGCTCCTCCTCACCCGAAAATTCACTGTTTGCAAAGCCAAGCACTTTCCATATTGTGCGGGAACAAGTCGCGGTCTATAAAGGTGCAGAGTGTTCGAACATGTTGCAACTTCAACAAGTAGTGAATGATGTTGACCGTTCAAGCTGTGTGTGCTGAATCATTTGACAGACTGCGTGACCCTTGCACACCTGCGACACCTAGTGGACTGCCTGGCATGATTTTGCGTAGTTTTCTGATGTCATCAGCCCTGGTCCTTCGCAGATTTCGTTTGCCACGGTTTGATGTTGAACGCACTCAGCATTACTTATCATTAGTGCTGGTCTGACCTGGTCTGACTTTGGGCTTCTGAAATCTTGGCAGGACGAGCTGGGAATTCAGATGGACGATGAGGAGCTTCGAGCACTGCTGGAAAAGGCCCAAGACTCAGGATCTAGGAAGCAATCCAGGCATCCCAGAAATGGACATCCGAGACTGAACCGAACGTCCTATATTTTCACATTTTTTGTCAGCTCCAACCCCCCTTTTGAAACTGGAGAGGACCTCCCCTCCATCCCAACTGCGTGTGAAGCCAAGGCAGGAGCTGACGCTGATGACCGTCTGAGCATGGATTTGTTTTACAACGTCATGCGCCACAAAGACTCAGACTGAACTTGAAAAGTGCGCCATTGCTAACATCGACAGCACAGTTCGATTCGAGATGGCTCCCAGAAGCATGTTGAGCACCTTTGCGAACTGTAAGACAATACTGCAATATACTGCGTTTGTATCCTTTAGAAGGGAAGCTCAGTTTGCTTGTATCGACTATAGATGGTTTTGCAGCATGCAGAGGTATGTAGCGGTAGCGTTTGGCTCATTCCCAGGTGACTGGATCTCCCAAATAACGGGCCATGGAAATGTGAATCGTGATAGTTCTTCTCCTTGTCCCCGGTTCCACTTCGGTGGATTTTCAATCAAACTGCACAAGGTACGAGTCCAACGGGCTCAACAATCCAGGTCTCCAGAAAACTGGCTGCAGTCGATATCATCGACCAAACCCAGGAAAGTTCCTTTTTGCGAAGCAGACCTTGACCTTGGGACGGCGGTGGAACTGTTGGAACTGTTAGAAGGTTCCTCTGAAGTTGGGTGGGTCCAATGGAGCATGCCCTTCGGGCCTTGCGGCAGCTTTCAGCAGGTGTGGGCAATGAAGCCTGGGTCTTCAAAGCTGCTTCCTTGGTTCCAGCTGGCTGGGAGGAAACCACCACCAGTACCAGTGCTGAGCTGGTGCGCCAGGGGTCTGACAGTGAGTCAGAAGAGGAGATACTGGACATACAACAACAAAGTGTGAAGCTCAGCGAACTCTATACATGGGGCCGAGCTACCAATTACCAGCTGGGATATGGTGTCAGTGGAAACGAGCAGCAAATTCCCAAGCTGGTGCAACTGCCCATTGGAAAGCAAGTGATGCACGGAGCTCAGAATTCTTGTCGCTGTGGATTCTGGAAACTTGAAACAGTCCTTAGATGAAATAGTGACAGCAGCATGCTCAATAGATTCTTCGTGTTTTTTGCTTTGTAGTGAACGAAGCACATTTCGCTTGGGAACAGGTCGCATGTTTGCCAGTCACATTTTTGCATCTTCTCATGAGGTACTTGTCGTGCGGGCGTTTCCACAGCACAGCTGTCACTTCGTGTGGAAGTGTCTTCACCTGGGGTTTCGCTGGTGCCAGCGGTCGTTTGGGTCTGGAACAAGCCAAACGTGAAGCACGAGAAGCCGCTGTGGTGGAACCCACTCCATTGCCACAGTTTGGACCGGGGAGGCACCACGCCACCAAGGTCGCTACAGGTCTCAACCATACCCTGGCCATGACTGCTGCCGGGAAGCTGTTGGTTTGGGGCTCAAATGAACGAGGTCAACTCGGACATGGGACCCCTGGTGATACCGCAGTGCTTCAGCCAACAGTTTTGAAGGCACAATGATGTCTCTGCTGAATTCCAATCTCGGTTCTTCCAGTATTGTGTAGTGCACAACGGGCATGGGTATGCGGCAACCTGAAGTGCTTTCCTTACAAAAATGGAAGTTTAAACTTAAACACTCCATGGCCGTTATTTGTCCTTATTATGTTACTTGTCGGTCCAGTGGTTCAGGCTTTTTTGCCAAAGATCGCTGTGTGCCAGGCAGCGCCGTGGCAAAAGCAGAAGGTAACTGATATCGCAACTGGTTCCCTTCATTCACTCTGCATCGCAGGCGAGAATTTTGTGCAAAATCACTAGTTGTACTTGTGTTTTACAGCATTGGTGGTTTTCATATTGAGCATTTCCATAACATTATATATATATATTTTATATTCATTCTTCTTGGTTTTTTACCTCTTTTTTTCATCATATAGTTCATCCGTCATGTGAGGTGAATCGGGACAGGTGTTTGCGTGGGGCTGCAACGCTCATGGAGCGTTGGGCCTTGGAACTCCACCCACTGGACCTTCCCACACTGCGCAGCCCCAATGTTTACCTCACCTGAAGTCAGCCACCTTTCTGGTAGCCAATCCCTGCGGAAATGTGAGTTTGTGTTTCTGGGATTTTCTGGGATTTTCATGAATTTTCCAAGTCAGTTTTTGGGACGTTGGAACGGGTCACAGGGTCATTTTGGGGCAAATGGGACCAGTTTATGTTTATTGTCTATTGTTGTTGTTTGGGACAGAGAAAAAGCTACCGAGGTTTGATGATGTCCCATGGTGATGCAATGATGTTCGGCGGCTCTCCTGTTCCTGCGAGTGATGGCCGTTCTGTGGATCAGCGCTTCTATGTCCCGGCAAGGGTCCGGCGCAAGGAGCCAGATCCTTCGCTGACTTCGTCGGATGACTGGCAACTGCAGCGTGGCAGTCAGCTGAGTCCTTTGCGATGGGCAACTTTGAGTGATTCTGAAGGATTTGGAATCGACACGGATGGGCTTCTTTGGGTTTGGCCTACGTCATCTCGTCCTGCAACTGCTGATTTAGTCTCGGTGGCGCTGAAACGAGCCGTGCGCTCAAGATTGGCAAGTGCCAGTGGCGCCAATGAACTGACACTGGATCCGTCGGATCCAAGCAACAACGAGTTTGTTTTGATGGAAGAAGGCGAAGATGAAGAACTGACATTGGCAACTCAGGAGCTTCTTATGCCGAAATCACCCATGCAAGCTCCAAATCTGAATGAAGTTCAGCAAGTGGGCATTTCAAATTTTGGCGTTTCGTTCAAAGCTGGAATCAGTTGGGCTGTAGATGACTCTGCTGGCCATCTCTGGCAATTGAAGCGTGCAAAGTCGAAAGACGGTTGGGCGGCTGAACGCTTTGAGTACTTGGCCCAGGTCTCATGTTTCGCTTGTGGTCCTGAACATCAAGCAGCTGTGACCACCTACATGGTGCCCACAGTGCCGCGTTATGATTTACCACAAGACCTTAAGGCCGTTAAGGCACAAGAATCACAAGAACAACACAGTGATGAGACAGACACCAGGTCGGACTCCAAAGAAACCGTGGCGAAAAGGCCAGTACAATCTCTTCAGCAGATTTGCGAAGACAAACTCTGTGCAAAGTTGAATCCACGTTCATTTGGTCTGGTGTGTGACATAGCTTGGGAGTTGAACCGGCCAGCTTTGTTGGACAGAGCCTTCCGGTTCTTGTGCGCCAACGCTCCGTTGATGTTCTCCAAACTGCATTTGCCTACTTTGAGCCAACTTCCTGTCGAGGTCTTGGCCGCATTTGAGATGGCGGCCAAAGCCAAGGTTGTTGCGGACAGCGGAGGTGCAAGTGTGGGAAGTGCTCCCAGTCGAAAGGAAAGTCGTGAGGACGTGGTTCAGATGCATGAAACCAACGACCTGCCGTTCGTTCGGGACTTTGGAGATGAATTCTCATCCGACTTGGGAGCTCCATTTCAGATGGATGACATGGATGATGAGAGGATGTTGAACGAAATCAGCAAACTTTGCGAAAGTGGCCAGTGGTCTTCTATTGCCTCCCAAGCTTTGTCCCTCTTAGCCACTTCCCTACCTGGCTCTGCAGCAGGAGAGGGTCTCATTGCCGAGAAGTTGGGCTTGTCATTTGCGCTTGACGAGCTGGAACAGGTGAGGTCAGTCATGCCGTAGTTGAAGGGAACCAACTGATACCTTCTTCATTTCTTTATCATGCTACTCTTCTTCGGGTAGGAGTTTGACATAGCTTGAAGCAGTTGAAGCTTCGCATTGTGCTTTCTTATGCTTTCTTGAATCCTTTCTGAATCAGGTGCAGCTGGAAGCCGACGCAGAGAAAGAGGACGCACGTCGCAAGCGTCGGGCATCCAATGTCTCCAGCGTCTCGCCACAGATCGCCGCGGTACCGTCGAAGTATGCCTCCCCGGCGATGTCCTCCAAGTCGTCGCCCAAATCGGCTGCCATCTCGCCCTTCCTCCAACCTGAGAAAAGCAGCAGTCCCATGTTGGAAGCACAGGATCGACAGGAGTGGGTGGAGGTCAAAGGAAACTCCAGGGCTCGCAAAGATGTTTCAATGGCCAGTCCCAAAGTGAAAGCTTCACCAGAGCCTACACAAATGCCACCGGCTGCGGTGCCACCGAGTCCAAAAGGTGGTAAAAAGGGTGATAGCTCCGGGAAAGGTGGAAAAGATGGAACGGGCAAAGGCAAGACATCTCTGATGTCACTGGATGAAAGCGCTTCTTCCCGGCATTTGAGACTGGCCGATTTCATCAAGCCGCAGGTTGGGAGAGGCAAAGGAAAGGGCGGAACTGATGCGAAAAAAAGTGAGAAGAGTGATGCAGAGAGTGGTCCTTCGGCCATTCTTGTTTCAGCTCTGCAGTCAGCAGGGAAAGCTGAAAAAGGTGTTGAGAATGGATCTGCCAAATGGGCTCTGCCCAAGGATGATGGATTTAATGGAAATCCCAAACTCTCGCAAATTTTGGAGGAGGACAAGGGATCCAAGGAGGCAAAAAGGAAGCAAAGCCTCCGAAAGCCCGAAACCAAAGTGATGACGTGCTCCTGGGGTCGTGATGCTTTGCCATCGGAGCAGTCCAAAAATCAATCCATTGCTGAGATCCAACAAGAAGAAGAGCTTCTTCGAGAACATGATGAAATCCTGGAGATTGAGGTGCATGTGTGTTTGAGTTTTTTCAGCATATTGGTCTTAAATATGTTAAATGCTGCAATGTCCCATATCTACCAATTCAATGCAAAACAGATGAAACACAGATGTGCCAAGCAACATGTGATATGATCATAGATCGCCAAGTTTTTTTAAAAAGCCATCAATGCCCAATCGGCCCTTCAGGCCATGTTTGCAGCGCTGGAGGTCGCCGAAATCCATGAGGCATTGGAGCAATCTCGTGCTGCGAATGGGGAGGTCACCGGACCAAGCCCTTCGAAAGATGTGAAAGGGCGGGCGTCTGGTCATAAGCCCCAGGCCAAAGTTGAAGCAAAAGGACACAGGAAAAAGAAAGGGAACCCAAATTCCAAGTCTGACTGGTGGTCCCAAGGGTGGGATGGCTGGAATTCTGGCTGGTGGGAGTCTGAAAAATCGACAGCTCGCTGGCAGAAACGCCCAGCTGAGAGTGAGACTGCGCAAAGAGAAGCGTGAGCTCACGTGGACAGGCTCACACCTCCGAATTTTCCTGCGCGTCTCTGGAAAATGGTGAGGAAGTGATTTGGGATTGGCATCAATGCTTGCATTCTTCGATGCCTGGATGTCTACGTTGTCCATCACTTCTTTGTTCCCACAGCCTGTGTGCGCGGCTTGTCTTTCTCCATGACCAGACGAGATGAATATATATATATATATATATGTCCATTTTCTGCACCTGTGAATTGCTGCTTCCCTGATTTCAACAAACGTGTTTCCTCCTGCAGCCGTTTTCATGATTTCTGTGCAGTCCTCGCTCCTCCTTTTGCAACAGCGTACGGAGCTTGCCAATGGCCTTGGCCTTAGTTCCTGATGCTTTTGTTTTAACGCCGAAAGCAGGGAATTTTTACCTCAATCTGGTGAGCCAAAGCGATGAAGATCTGAGCACTGGACCTAGGTCTTCCAAACGCCTCAGAGGAGGTGCAGAATTCCATTGGTCAGTTATCTTTCTGCGAATGCTTAACTTTTGCTAAAGGAGGTGCTGTCTGGGCTGGGAAATGCGGTGGATGCATTGTAAAAGTTCTTGAAGATTCCTGGCTTTTTGAGACTTGGGGAGTTATCGGACAGCAATTTGCAATGCGAAAAATCCGCAGATCTCCCTGAGAAGCCTTAAAGAAATCGGAGGACTTGCGGCAGACCTGTCTTGCAGCAACGGGATTGACCATGTAGAAGACTGAGGTGGCAATATGTTATGACGAGCCCAATTCTTGATGATTGTGAAAGCAGTAGCAGCAGTAGCAATCTTGGTTGTTCTCGTGCTCCAGATCTTTGAGCGCAAGTGTTGTTGGTTGTTTTTTCTCTATTGATTTGGCATCGTTCACTCCCCTCCAAGCGCAGGACCGTGCTGCAGAACTTTGTGCGGAGAGCAGAGAGGTCAAGAACCAAACGCGAAGGTTGTTGAGTCATTGAGTCATCATCTTGCATTATGACGAATCAGTATCAAGTATCAAGTATTGGCATTAGTTGATTATGATTTACGAAAAAATAATCATTATGAATCAGTACTGGCATGTCTGATTATATATAATTATATATAATTTAAGCGCTTACGCGCGACAGCCAGCCAGGGGCCCAACTATGTGGCCCATTTTGTGGCTATGTTGGCCTATGTTGGCCTATGTTGGCCTATGTTGGTCTATCTTGCGGGCAATGTGGGCCCATCTTGTGGCTATGTTGGCCTATGTTGGCCTCAGGTTGATTCATGTTGAGCCAAAAGATCCGAAAAATGGGAACAGCAAAAAAAACACTGTAAAACGCAGGATATTTTGATGGTCGGCGGCCTGTCTTGGGGCTATGTTAGCCCATCTTGGAGCTATGTTGGCCCATCCTATGTTGGCCCCGCTTGAGGCCTATCTTGGCCCATGTTGACCCATCTTAAACCGCAAGATCCGGGAAAAGCCGAAAAAATGCGACGAGCACACAACACCGTAAAACGCGGGAGTTTTTGGCCCGACCGGGTGGTCGGCGGCAGGGGGCGCGGCCCCTCTCTCCTACGGAGAGGAGAGAACTGCCGTACGGCAATGCCACGGCCAGGGGGCCCCTGACCTATATATTTATGTATTTGTGTATGATGTATGTATGTATGTATGTATGTATGTATGTATGTATGTATGTATGTATGTATGTATGTATGTATAAAGTATGTATAATAGACATATATATATATAATATAAAAAATATAATATAATAGGATTTAAGCGCTTACGCGCGACAGCCGGCCAGGGGCCCAACTATGTTGGCCCATCTTGTGGCTATGCTGGCCTATGTTGGCATACGTTGACCTATCTTGCGGGAAATGTGGGTGGGAAATGTGGGCCTAGCTTGGAGCTATGTTGGCCCAGCTTGGGGCTATGTTGGCGTATCTTGAAAGCTATGTGGGCCGATCTTGAGCCCTATGTCGGCCGCTTATGTTGGCCCACGTTGACCCAGCTTGAGCCAAAAGATCCGAAAAATGGGAACAGCAAAAAACACTGTAAAACGCAGGATATTTTGATGGTTGGCGGCCTATCTTGCCCTATGTTGGCCCATCTTCGGGCTATGTTGGGTCATCTTGGGGCTATGTTGGCCCATCTTCGAGCTATGTTCGGTCATCTTGGGGCTATGTTGGCCCATCTTGGAGCTATGTTGGCCCATCTTGGGGCTATGTTGGCCCCTCTTGGGGCTATGTTGGCCCATGTTGGCCCATCTTGGGGCTATGTTGGCCCATCTTGAGGCCTATGTTGGCCCATCCTGAGGCCTTTGTTGGCCCAAGTGACCCATCTTAAACCACAAGATCCGAAAAATGGGAAAAATGGGAAAAAATGGGAAGAGTACAAAACACCGTAAAACGCGGGAGTTTTTGGCGGGGGGGAGTGGGTCGGCGGCTGGGGCGGCGGCCCCTCTCTCCTACGGAGAGGAGAGAACTGCCGTACGGCAAGGACACGGCCAGGGGGCGGCCAGGGGGGCCCAACTATGTTGGCCTATCTTGTGGCTATGTTGGCCCATCCTGAGACCTATGTTGGCTCATGTTGCCCCATGTGGAGCCAAAAGATCCGAAAAATGGGAAACAGCAAAAAAACACTGTAAAACGCAGGATGTTTTGATGGTCGGCGGCGTATCTTGGGGCTACGTTGGCCCATCTTGGGGGTATGTTGGCCCATCTTGAGGGCAATGTTGGCCCCTCTTCGCTATGTTGGCCCATCTTGGGGCTATGTTGGCCCATCTTGGGGGCTATGTTGCCCGATCTTGGGGCAATGTTCGCCCATCTTGAGGCCTATCTTGGCCCATGTTGACCCATCTTAAACCACAAGATCCGAAAAATGGGAAAAAATGCGAAGAGCACAAAACACCGTAAAACGCGGGAGTTTTTGGCCGGACCGGGTGGTCGGCGGCAGGGGGCGCGGCCCCTCTCTCCTACGGAGAGGAGAGAAACGCCTTCGGCAATGCCACGGCCAGGGGGCCCCTGGCCGGATTTAGGCGCTTACGCGCGACAGCCGGCCAGGGGCCCAACTATGTAGGCCCATTTTGTGGCTATGTTGGCCTATGTTGGCCTATCTTGCGGCTTGCGGGCAATGTGGGCCCATCTTTGTGGCTATGTTGGCCTATGTTGGCCTCATGTTGAAGCATGTTGAGCCAAAAGATCCGAAAAATGGGAACAGCAAAAAAACCACTGTAAAACGCAGGATATTTGGGCCTACGTTGGCCCATCTTGGAGCTACGTGGGCCCATCTTGGGGCTATGTTGTCCCATCTTGGGGGCTATGTTGCCCCGGCTTGAGGTTATGTGGGCCCATCTTGGAGCTATGTTGGCCCATCTTGGGGCTATGTTGGCCCATCTTGGGGCTATGTTGGCCCATCTTGAGGCCTATGTTGGCCCATCTCGAGGCCTATCTTAGGCTCCGAAAAATGAGAAAAAATGCGAAGAGCACAAAACACCGTAAAACACGGGGGTTTTTGGCCCTACCGGGTGGGTCGGCGGCAGGGGGCGCGGCCCCTCTCTCCTACGGAGAGGAGAGAACTGCCGTACGGCAAGGACACGGCCAGGGGGCCCCTGGCCGGATTTAAGGGCTGGCGCCCCTCGTCGGCTCCGCCGGATTTCTCGACCCTCCATTTCATCGCAGTGTGGGCTTGAAAGCTTTTGGATGGGGACCTGCTTCAGAAATATATTGCTTTTGTTTTTTGAAAAAAGTTCATGGAATAGGAACTTTGTTGGAAATAGACGGCTTTTTTGGGGAGCAAGTGGGTTCCCGAAAGCTCCTGCCAAGAGTTTGTCCCGAACAACTGCTGCCAATTTCAACTGGTTACTTCGTGTAAAGGCGCCTCTGTGCAAAGACTTCTCTGTGTAAAAGCTTTTGCGTGTAAAAGTTTCTGTGTGTAAAAACCACTTTGTGTATAAAGACTTCTTTGTGTAAAAGCTTCTGTGTGTGAAAGCTTCTCTGTGTGAAAGCGCGTCTGTGTAAAGATTTCACTGTGTGTAAAAGCTTCCGTGTGTAAAACTCTCTGTGTAAAGGCTTCTCTGTGTAAAAGCTTCTGTGCGTAAACGCGTCTGTGAGTGAAAGAAAGCTATATATCTGTGTAACGACTTCTTCGTGTAACAGCTTCTGTGTGTAAAGGCTCCTAGACGTTTGTGTGCAAAAGCTCCTTAAAGTAAAGACTTCTCTGTGTAAAACTTCCCCGCCAGGATTTGGCCAAAAACGGCCGTTTCCCAATGATCCCAGAAGAGAAATTCAATAGCCGGCCGAGGGGCCGCCAAATGGCAGAAATATGCTTCGAAAAGGCTCCCGGCTAGGATTTGGCCAAAAACGGCCGTTTCCCAATGATCCTAGAAGAGAAATTCAATAGCCGGCCGAGGGGCCGCCAAATGGTCGAAATTTGCTTCCAAAAGGTTCCCGGCTAGGATTTGGGCAAAAACGGCCGTTTCCCAATGATCCCAGAGAAGAAATTCAATAGCCGGCCGAGGGGCCGCCAAAAGGCAGAAATATGCTTCCAAAAGGCTCCCGGCCAGGATTTTGCCAAAAATTGCCGTTTCCCAATGATCCCAGAAGAGAAAGTCAATAGCCGGCCGAGGGGCCGCCAAAAGGCCGAAATTTGCTTCCAAAAGGTTCCCGGCTAGGATTTGGGCAAAAACGGCCGTTTCCCAATGATCCCAGAGAAGAAATTCAATAGCCGGCCGAGGGGCCGCCAAAAGGCAGAAATATGCTTCCAAAAGGCTCCCGGCCAGGATTTTGCCAAAAATTGCCGTTTCCCAATGATCCCAGAAGAGAAAGTCAATAGCCGGCCGAGGGGCCGCCAAAAGGCCGAAATTTGCTTCCAAAAGGCTCCCGTGTGTAAAAAGCTCCTTTGTGTACAGACTTCTCTGTGTAAAAGCCCCTGTGTGTGTAAAAGCTTGCTGTGTGTAAATGCTTTTGTGTGTAAAAGCTCCTCTGTGTAAAGGCTTCTCTGTGTAAAAGCTTCTGTGTGCAAACGCGTCTGTGCGTAAAAAATCATCTGTGTAAAGACGTCTTCGTGTAAAAACTTTGTGTGAAAAAGCTCC